CATCCTTGTCCTTCACCCCAATGTCCCCAAATGTCCCAAATCCATCAATGTCCCCAATCCCCCAAATGTCCCAAATTTAACCAATCCATCAATGTCCCCAAATGTCCCCAAATGTCCCCAAATGTCCCTGATGTCCCTAACATCCCCTCAATGTCCCCAATGTCCCCACTGTCCCCAATCCCCCCAATGTCCCCAATGTCCCCAATGTCCCCAATGTCCCCAATGTCCCCAATGTCCCCAAATGTCCCCAATGTCCCCAATCCCCCCAAACCCCCCAATGTCCCCGATGTCCCCAATGTCCCCAATGTCCCCAGAGCGAGGAGAAGGGCCGGCAGCTGCAGGAGTGGCTGGAGAACACCTGAGGTCCCCATGTCCCCAACATCCCTGATGTCCCCAATCCCCCAAATGTCCCCACTGTCCCCAATGTCCCCAATGTCCCCAATGTCCCCAATGTCCCCGATGTCCCCAATGTCCCCAATGTCCCCGATGTCCCCGATGTCCCCAATCCCCCCAATGTCCCCAATGTCCCCAATGTCCCCAATCCCCCCAACATCCCCAATGTCCCCAAATATCCCCAATGTCCCCAATGTCCCCAATGTCCCCAAATATCCCCAATGTCCCCAATGTCCCCAATGTCCCCAATGTCCCCAATGTCCCCAACATCCCCAATGTCCCCAATGTCCCCAATGCCCCCAATGTCCCCAATGTCCCCAGAGCGAGGAGAAGGGCCGGCAGCTGCAGGAGTGGCTGGAGGACGCCTGAGGTCCCAGTGTCCCCGATGTCCCCAATGTCCCCAATGTCCCCAATGCCCCCAATGCCCCCAACATCCCCAATGTCCCCAATGTCCCCAATGCCCCCAATGTCCCCAATGTCCCCAATGTCCCCAATGCCCCCAATGTCCCCAATGTCCCCAATCCCCCCAATGTCCCCAATGTCCCCAATGTCCCCAATCCCCCCAATGTCCCCAATGTCCCCAATGTCCCCAATCCCCCCAATGTCCCCAATGTCCCCAATGTCCCCAATGTCCCCAATGTCCCCAACATCCCCAATGTCCCCGATGTCCCCAATGTCCCCAATGTCCCCAACGTCCCCAACGTCCCCAATGTCCCCGCTGTCCCCAGAGCGAGGAGAAGGGCTGGCAGCTGCAGGAGTGGCTGGAGGATGCCTGATGTCTCCATGTCCCCAATGTCCCCAACATCCCCAATCCCCTCAATGTCCCCAATCCCCCCAATGTCCCCATTGTCCCCAATGTCCCCAATGTCCCCAATCCCCTCAATGTCCCCAATCCCCCCAATGTCCCCAATGTCCCCGATGTCCCCAATGTCCCCGATGTCCCCAAAGCCCCCAGTATCCCCAGTGTCCCCAGTGTCCCCAATGTCCCCAATGTCCCCAATCCCCCCAACGTCCCCAATGTCCCCAATGTCCCCAGAGCGAGGAGAAGGGCCGGCAGCTGCAGGAGTGGCCAGAGAACACCTGATGTCCCCAATGTCCCCAATGTCCCCCAATGTCCCCAATGCCCCCAATGTCCCCGATGTCCCCAATCCCCCCAATGTCCCCAATGCCCCCAATGTCCCCGATGTCCCCGATGTCCCCAATGTCCCCGCTGTCCCCAGAGCGAGGAGAAGGGCCAGCAGCTGCAGGAGTGGCTGGAGGACGCCTGAGGTCCCTGTGTCCCCAATGTCCCTAATGTCCCCAATCCCCCCAATGTCCCCAATGTCCCCAATGTCCCCGCTGTCCCCAGAGCGAGGAGAAGGGCCGGCAGCTGCAGGAGTGGCTGGAGGACGCCAAGGCCAAGCTCCAGCTGACGCTGCAAAAGGCCGAGACGCTGCCCGAGATCGAGGCCCAGCTGGCCCAGAGGGTGGCGGCGCTCACCAAGGTGGGCCCGGGGGAATTTGGGGGGTCCTGGGGGGGTCTTGAAGGGTCCTGGGGGGGATTTGGGGTGTCCTGGGTGTGATTTGGGGGGTCCTGGGGGGAATTTGGGGGGTCCTCAGGGGGATTTTGGGGGGTCCTGGGGGGGATTTTGGGGGTCCTGGGGGGGTTTGGGCGGTCCTGGGAGGGGTTTGGGGGGTCCTGAGGGGGTTTGGGGGGTCCTGGGTGGGATTTGGGGGGTCCTGGGGGGATTTGGGGGGTTCTAGGGGGGAGTTGGGGGATCCTGGGGGGGGTTTGGGGGGTCCTGGGGGGGTTTGGGGGGTCCTGGGGGTGATTTGGAGGGGTCTTGAGGGGGATTTGGGGGGTCCTGGGGGGGATTTGGGGGGTCCTGGGGGGATTTGGGGGGTCCTGGGTGTGATTTGGGGGGTCCTGGGAGGGATTTGGGGGGTCCTGAGGGGGATTTGGGGGGTCCTGGGGTGGTTTGGGGTGTCCGGATGGGGAATTTGGGGGGATTTGGGGTGTCCTGGGTGTGATTTGGGGGGTCCTGGGGTGTTCTGGGGGTGATTTGGGGTGTCCTGGGGGGGGTCTGGGAGGATCTTGAGGGGTCCTGGAGAGGATTTGGGGGGTCTTGAAGGGTCCTGGGGGGGTTTTGGGGGTCCTGAGGGGGATTTTGGGAGTCCTGGGGGGTTTTGGGGTGTCCTGGAGAGGATTTGGGGGGTCTTGAGGGGTCCTGGGGGGGATTTGGGGGGTCCTGGGGGGAATCTGTGGGGGGTCCTGATGGGGATTTTGAGGGGATTTGGGGGTCCTGGGGTGGTCTGGGGGGGATTTGTGGGGTCCTCAGGGGGATTTTAGGGGTCCTGAGGGGAATTTGGGGCTTCTGGGGTGGTCGGGGGGGGATTTTGGGGGTCCTGGGGGGGATTTGGAGGGTCCTGAGGGGAATTTGGGGGGTCCTGAGGGGAATTTGGGGTGTCCTGGGGGGAATTTTGGGGTTCCTGTGGTGGTCCGGGGGGGATTTGGGGTGTCCTGATGGGGAATTTGGGGGGATTTGGGGGGTCTGGAGGGGATTTTGGGGGGTCTTGAAGGGTCCTGGTGGGGATTTGGGGTGTCCTGGCGGGGATTTTGGGGCTCCTGCGGTGTCCTGGGTGTGATTTGGGGGATCCTGGGGTGGTCTGGGGGGGATTTTGGGGGTCCTGAAGGGGATTTTGGGGGAATTTGGGGGTCCTTATGGGGATTTTTGTGGTCCTGAGGGGGATTTTGGGGGGATTTGGGGGTCATTAAGGGGATTTTGGGGGTCCTGAAGGGGATTTTGGGGGTCCTGAGGGGGATTTGGGGGTCCTGAGGGGGATTTTGGGGGTCCTGTGTCCCCAAACCCCCCAAATCCCCCAAACCCCCCAGGCCGAGGAGCGCCACGGGAATTTCGAGGAGCGGCTGCGGCAGCTCGAGGCCCAACTGCAGGAGAAGAACCAGGAGCTGCAGAGGGTGGGGCACCCCAAAATTAGGGACACCCCAAAATTAGGGACACCCCAAAATTGGGGGCACCCCAAAATCCGCCACCCCAAAAATGGGCACCCTAAAAAATGGGGAAACCCCAAAAATGGGGGCACCCAAAAATGGGAAACCCCAAAAACCCAAAAATGGGAAATGCAAAAATGGGGCACCCCAAAAATGGGAACCCTCAAAAATGGGCACCCCAAAATCTGGCACCCCAAAAATGGGCACCCCAAAAAACAGGGAAACCCCAAAAATTGGAAACCCCAAAAATTGGAAACCCAAAAATGGGAAACCCCAAAAATGGGAAACCCAAAATTGGGAAACCCAAAATTGGGAAAACTCAAAAATGGGCACCCCAAAATCTGGCACCCCAAAAATGGGCACCCTAAAAATAGGGAAAGCCCAAAAATGGGAACCCCAAAAGCGGGAAACCCCAAAAATGGAAAACCCCAAAAATGGGCACCACAAAAATTGGGAAACCCCAAAAATGGGCACCACAAAAATTGGGGAAACCCCAAAAATGGGCACCCCAAAAACCGGCACCCCAAAAAACGGGAAACCCCAAAAACCGACGACAGCACAAAAATGGGAAACCTCAAAAATGGGAACCCCAAAAATGGGAGAACCCTAAAAACCGGCGCCCTAAAAATGGGAAACCCCAAAAATGTGGAAACCCCTAAAAATGGGAAACCTCAAAAATGGGAAACCCCAAAATTGGGAGAACCCCAAAAATTGGAAATCCCAAAACTTGAAAACCCCAAAAATGGGAACCCCAAAAATGGGAAACCCCAAAAACCGACACCCCAAAAATGGGAACCCCAAAAATGTGGAACCCCCAAAATGTGAAACCCCAAAAACGGGGTCACCCCAAAAATGGGAGAACCCTAAAACCCGGCGCCCCAAAAATGGGAAACCCCAAAAATGTGGAACCCCAAAAATGGGAAACCTCAAAAATTGGAAATCCCAAAACTTGAAAACCCCAAAACTGGAAAACCACAAAAATGGGAAACCCCAAAAACCCAAAAATGGGCACCCTAAAAAAGGGAAACCCCAAAAATGGGAAACCCCAAAAATTGGAAAACTCAAAAATTGGAAAACTCAAAAATGGGCACCCCAAAATCTGCCACCCCAAAATTAAGGACACCCCAAAATCCGGCACCCCAAAAATGGGCACCCTAAAAAATGGGGAAAACCCCAAAAATGGGCACCACAAAAAAGGGAAACCCCAAAAACCCAAAAATGGGAAATGCAAAAATAGGAAACCCCAAAAATGGGAAACCCTAAAAATGGGAAATCCCGAAAATGGGAAACCCCAAAAATGGGAAACGCCGGAAATGGGAACCCTCAAAAGTGGGCACCCCAAAATACGGCACCCCAAAAAATGGGAAACCCCCAAAACCGACGGCAGCACAAAAATGGGAAACCCCAAAAATGTGGAACCCCAAAAATGGGAAACCTCAAAAATTGGAAATCCCAAAACTTGAAAACCCCAAAACTGGAAAACCCCAAAAATGGGAAACCTCAAAATTGGGAGAACCCCAAAAATGGGAACCCCAAAAATGGGAAACCCCCAAAATGGGAGAACCCCAAAATTGGGAGAACCCCAAAAATGGGAACCCCAAAAATGGGAAACCCCAAAAATGGGAAACCCAAAAATGGGGAAACCCCAAAAATGGGCACCCCAAAAATGGGGGCACCCAAAAATGGGAAACCCCAAAAACCCAAAAATGGGAAATGCAAAAATGGGAAACCGCAAAAATGGGAAACCCCAAAAATGGGAAACCCCAAAAATGGGAAACACCGGAAATGGGAACCCTCAAAAATGGGCACCCCAAAATCCGGCACCCCAAAAATAGGGGTACCCCAAAAATTGGAAACTCCAAAAATTGGAAACCTCAAAAATGGGCACCCCAAAAAACGGGGAAACCCCAAAAATGGGAAACCCCAAAAACCCAAAAATGGGAAATGCAAAAATGAGAAACCGCAAAAATGGAAAACCCCAAAAATGGGAAACCCCCAAAGTGGGAAACCCCAAAAATGGGAAACCTCAAAAATGGGAACCCCAAAAACCGACACCCCAAAAATGGGAAACCCCAAAAACGTGGAACCCCAAAAATGGGAAACACCAAAAAGGGGAAAAATAAAAAAAGAAGATCCCAAAAAATGGAGAACCCCAAAAATGGGCACCCCAAAAACGGCCACCCAAAAAATGGGAAACCTTAAAAATGGGAAACCCCAAAACTTTTAAACCCCAAAAAAAGGGCAACCCCAAAATCAGAACCCCCAAATTCAGCCACCCCAAAATTAGGAACACCCCAAATTCGGCCACCCCAAAATTAGGAACACCCCAAATTCGCTCACCCCAAATTCGGTCACCCCAAAAATCACTAAAAATTCAATTTTCGCCCCTTTTTGTGCCACAACCCGCGGCTTTGCCATTCTCCTGTTGGCTCCCGGTCACTTTTAACCTCTCCCTTGATTTTTTGGGGACCCCCTCGGAAATTTTGGGGTCCCCCCCCCAAATTTTGGGGTCCCCCCCAGGCCCGGCAGAGGGAGAAGATGAACGATGAGCACAACAAGCGGCTCTCGGAGACGGTGGATCGGCTCCTGAGCGAGAGCAACGAGCGGCTGCAGCTGCACCTCAAGGAGAGGATGGGGGCGCTGGAGGAGAAGGTGGGGGCGCCCCAAAATTTGGGGGGTCCCACGAGAAATTTGGGGGGTCCTGGATGGGATTTGGGGGGTCCCGGAGGGATTTTGGGGGGATTTTGGGGGGTCCCGGGGGCTCTGAAATGGTTTTTGTTGCACCTCAAGGAGAGGATGGGGGCACTGGAGGAGAATTTGGGGGCGCCCCAAAATTTGGGAGAAATTTGGGGGGTCCCGGGAGAAATTTGGGGGGTCCTGGATGGGATTTGGGGGGTCCCGGGGGCATTTTGGGGGGAGTTTTGGGGGGAGTTTTGGGGGTCCTGGGGGCTCTGAAATGGTTTTTGTTGCAATTAAAGGAGGGGATTTGGGCACCCCAAAAATTGGGGAGGGGTCTGGGGGGACCTGGATGGATTTTGGGGGGTCCCGGGGGAAATTTGGGGGGTCCTGGATTGGATTGGGGGGTCCCAGTGGGAATTTGGGGGGTCCCAGATGGGATTTGAGGGGATTTTGGGGGGTCCCAGGGGGATTTTGGGGGCTCTGAAATGGTTTTTGTTGCACCTTAAGGAGAGGATGGGGGCGCTGGGGGAGAATTTGGGGGCGCCCCAAAATTGGGGAGAAATTTGGGGGGTCCTGGATGGGATTTGGGGGGTCCTGGATGGGATTTGGGGGGAATTTGGGGGGTCCTGGATGGATTTTGGGGGGATTTTGGGGGGTCCTGGGGGCTCTAAAATGGGTTTTGTTGGGGCTAAAGGAGGGGATTTGGGCACCCCAAAAATTGGGGAAGGGTCTGGGGGGACCTGGATGGGATTTGGGGGGTCCTGGGGGAAATTTGGGGGGTCCTGGATGGATTTTGGGGGGATTTTGGGGGGTCTCAGGGGTATTTTGGGGGCACTGAAATGGTTTTTGTTGCACCTCAAGGAGAGGATGGGGGCGCTGGAGGAGAAGGTGGGGGCGCCCCAAAATTTGGGGGGTCCCACGAGAAATTTGGGGGGTCCTGGGTGGGATTTGGGGGGAATTTGGGGGGTCCTGGATGAGATTTGGGGGGATTTTGGGGGCTCTGAAATGGGTTTTGTTGCACCTCAAAGAGAGGATTTGGGCACCCCAAAAATTGGGGAGAAATTTGGGGGGTCCTGGATGGGATTTGGGGGGTCCTGGATGGATTTTGGGGGGTCCTGGGTGGGATTTGGGGGATTTTGGTGGTTTTTTTTGGGGGGTTGGGGCGATTTTTGGGGGTTTTTTTGGGTTTTTTAGGGTTTTTTGGGGTTTTTTTGAGGGGGGTTGGACGGAATTTTTTTGAGTTTTTTTGGGGAGATTTTTTTTGGTTTTTTGAGGGTTTTTTTGGGTGTTTTTTGGGTTTTTTTAGGATTCTTTGGGGGTTTTTTGAGCTTTTTTGGGGTTTTTTTGGGGTTTTTTTTTGGGGGGGTTGGGTTTTTGGGGGGTTTTTGGGGTCTTTTCGGGTTTTTTTGGGGGTTTTTTGAATTTTTTTTGGGTTTTTATTGGTTTTTTTGGGGGGTTTTTTTGGGGATTTTTTGGTTTTTTGGGAGGATTTTTGGGGGTTTTTTTTGTTTGTTTTTTTGGGTTTTTTTGGGGTTTTTTTTTGGTTTTTTTTTTGGGGGGGGATTTTTTGGGGTTTTTTGAGGGGCGTTTACGATTTTTTTGGGGTTTTTTGGGGTTTTTTTGGGGTTTTTTTGGGTGGATTTTTGGGGTGGGTATGGGGGTTTTGGGGTTTTTTGGGGGCGTTTTTTGGGGTATTTTTGGGTTTTTCTTGGGAGGTTTTTCGGATTTTTTTTTTGGGGGGGTTTTTGCTTTTTTGGGTTTGTTTGGGTTTTTTTTGGGATTTTTTGGAAATGTTTTGGGGTCCCCCCTCATTTTCCCTCCCCAGAATTCGCTGAGTGAGGAAATCGCCAACATGAAGAAAATGCAGGACGAGCTCCTGCTCAACAAGGTCGGAGATTTTGGGGCAATTTTGGGGGATTTTTGGGGAATTTTGTGAATTTTGGGGGAATTTGGGAGGATTTGGAGGGAATTTTGGGGGGATTTTGGGGGGATTATTTGGGATTTTTTGGGATTTTTTTAGATTATTTAAAATTTTTTATGAATTTTTTTTATTTTTTATTTAAATTTTTTTTTTATTTTGGCATTTTTTATTTTTAATGTTTTTTTGAAAGTTTTCTTGACTTTTTTAGGGTTTTTTTGTATTTTTTGCTTTTGTTTTTGTTTTTGTTTGGTTTTTCTGAGTGTTTTTTTAAATTTTTTTTTTATTTTTAGGTTTTTTGGGGCTTTTTTTAAGGGAATTTTGGGAGATTTTGGGGAGGAATTTTGGTTGATTTTGGTCAGATTTTGAGGTTTTTTTCCAGTAGATTTCGGGGAGAAATTTTTAACAGATTTGTGGGAATTTTTGGGAGAATTTTTTGTTGAATTCTGGAACGTTTTTTGGGATAAATTTCGGATTTTTTTTTTCCCAAATCCCGGATGATTTTGGGGAAATTTTGGGAATTTCCGCTGGAATTTGGGATAAATTTCAGATTTTTCCCCAATCCTGGATCATTTTTGGGGCTTCCCAGACCCCAAATCCCACCGGGGCTGCCCAGCACTGAATCCCAAAATTCCCAAAATTCCCAAAATTCCCAAAATTCCCAAAATTCCCGAAATTCCCGAATTTCCCCCCAGGAGCAGCTGCTGGCGGAGATGGAGCGGATGCAGCAGGAGCTGGACCAGCTCCGGGGGCGCCCCGGCTCCTCCTACTCCAGGTACCCAAAAAACCCCAAAAATAACCCCAAAATAACCCCAAAATAACCCCAAAAATAACCTCAAAATATCCCCAAAATAACCCCGAAATAACCCCGAAATAACCCCAAAAATAACCCCAAAATAAGCCCAAAAAAACCCCAAAATAACCCCCAAATAACCCAAAAATAACCTCCCAAAAATCCCCAAAATAACCCAAAGTAACTCCAAAATAACCTCCCAAAACCACCCCAAAATAACCCAAAAAACCCCCAAATAACCCCAAAAAAACCCAAATAACCCCAAAATAACCTCCCAAAATAACCCCAAAATAACCCAAAAATTACCTCCCAAAAATCCCCAAAATAACCCCAAAATAACCCCAAAAAACCCCAAAAATAACCCCAAAAAAACCCCAAAATAACCTCCCAAAAAACCCAAAATAACCCCCAAATAACCTCCCAAAAACCCCCAAAATACCCCCAAAATAATCCCCAAAATAACCCCCAAAATAATCCCCAAAATAACCCCAAAATAACCTCCCAAAAATCCCCAAAATAACTCAAAATAACTCCAAAATAACCTCCCAAAAAACCCCCCAAAATAACCCCCAAAATAACCCCAAAATAACCCCAAATTTCCCTAAAATCCCCCCAAATCCCCCTCAAATCCCCCAACCCTCCCCAAATTCCCCAAAATTTCCCAAATTGACCCCGAATCTCCCCAAAATCCCCCCAAATCCCCCCAAAATCCCCCCAAACCCCCCCAATTTTCCCCAAAATCCCCCTGAAATTTCCCCCAAACTCCCTGAAACCTCCCCAAAATCCCCCCAAAATCCCCCCAACCCCCCCAAAAACCCCAATTCCCCTCCGCCCCTCCCCCACCCTGATTTTGGGGGGGGTCTCTGGTGCCGCCCCCTCCCCAATTCCCCCAATTCCCCCAAACCCCCCAGTTGCCTGCCGCCCCTCCCCCACCCTGATTTCGGGGGGGGGTCTCTGGTACCGCCCCCTCCCCAATTCCCCCCTCTCTGATTTTTGGGGGGGTCCCGGGGGTCTCTGGTGCCGCCCCCTCCTCCAATTCCCCCCTCTCTGATTTTTGGGGGTGGTCTCTGTGCCGCCCCCTCCCCAATTCCCCCCTCCCTGATTTCCCCCCGGGGGTCTCTGTGCCGCCCCCTCCCCAATTCCCCCTGCCCCTCCCCCACCCCATATTTCGGGGGGGGTCTCTGGGGTCTCCCCCCTCTCTCCTGCCCCTCCCCCACCCTGATTTCGGGGGGGGTCTCTGGGGCCGCCCCCTCCCCAAATCCCCCCAACCCCTGATTTTTTGGGGGGGGTCCCTGGTGCCGCCCCCTCCCCCACCCTGATTTTTGGGGGGGGGTCTCTGGTGTCGCCCCCTCCCCAATTCCCCCAATTCCCCCAAACCCCCCAATTCCCGCAGGCCCCTCCCCACCCCTGATTTTTGGGGGGGTCCCGGGGGGGTCCCTGGTGCCGCCCCCTCCCCAATTCCCCCCGGCCCCTCCCCAACCCTGATTTCGGGGGGGGTCTCTGGGGTCTCCCCCTCTCTCCTGCCCCTCCCCCTCCCTGATTTTTGGGGGGGTCTCTGTGCCACCCCCTCCCCCACCCTGATTTCGGGGGGGTCCCTGGTGTCGCCCCCTCCCCAATTTCTCAGGTCCCTCCCTGATTTCGGGGGGGGTCCCGGGGGGGGGTCTCTGGTGCCGCCCCCTCCCCAATTCCCCCCGCCCCTGATTTCGGGGGGGGTCCCTGGTGCCGCCCCCTCCCCAATTCCCCCCACCCTGATTTCTGGGGGGGTCTCTGGTGCCGCCCCCTCTCCCACCCTGATTTTGGGGGGGGGTCTCTGGGGCCGCCCCCTCCCCAAATCCCGCAGGTCCCTCCCCCACCCTGATTCCCCCTGGGGGGGGTCTCTGTGCCACCCCCTCCCCCACCCTGATTTTTGGGGGGGTCCCGGGGGGTCCCTGGTGCCGCCCCCTCCCCAAATCCCCCCTGCCCTGATTTCTGGGGGGGGTCCCTGGTGCCGCCCCCTCCCCCACCCTGATTTCGGGGGGGGGGTCTCTGGGGCCGCCCCCTCCCCAATTCCCCTCAGGTCCCTCCCTGATTTCGGGGGGGTCTCTGGGGGGGTCTCTGGTGCCGCCCCCTCCCCCACCCTGATTTCTGGGGGGGGGTCTCTGGTGCCGCCCCCTCCCCAATTCCCCCACCCTGATTTTGGGGGGGGTCCCTGGTGCCGCCCCCTCCCCAATTCCCCCTTCTGCCCCTCCCCCACCCTGATTTCGGGGGGGGTCCCGGGGGGGTCCCTGGTGCCGCCCCCTCCCCAATTCCCCCACCCTGATTTTGGGGGGGGTCCCTGGTGCCGCCCCCTCCCCAATTCCCCCAATTCCCCCGTGCCCCTCCCCCACCCTGATTTTTGGGGGGGGGTCCCTGGTGCCGCCCCCTCCCCAATTCCCCCCACCCTGATTTTTGGGGGGGGGGGTCTCTGGTGCCGCCCCCTCCCCATTTCCCAGGTCCCTCCCCGGCAGCGCTCTGGAGCTCCGCTGCCCCCAGAGCCCCCTCGGGACCCCCCCGGAGCCCCCCCGGAGGGGCCGGAAGGGCCGGTGGGGCCCCCCCAGGCAGGAGGTGGGGGAGGGGAGATTGGGGGGGGGGTTTGGGGGTTTGGGGGGATTTGGGGGGATTTTGGGGAGAATTTGGGGAATTTGGGGGGATTATGGGGGAAAATTGGGGGAGTTTTGGGGGATTTTGGGGGAGTTTGGGGAGATTTTGGGGAAAATTGGGGGGATTTTTGGAGGGTTTGGATGGGAATTGGGGGATTTTTGGGGAAAATTTGAGGAGATTTGGGAAGGAGTTTGGGGAATTTGGGGGAAAATCGGGGGGATTTTGGGGGTGCTGGGGGGGTTTGGAGGGAAATTAGGGGGAGTTTGGGGGGCTTTTTGGGGGATTTAGGGAGATTTGGGGGGGATTTTGGGGCGGTTTTGGGAGGAATTTGGGGGGTCCTGGTGGAATTTTCAGGGGGTTTTGGGGAGGTTTGGGGGGATTTTGGGGGGAAAATTGGGGGAATTTTAGGGGTTTTGGGGGATTTTGGGGGGATTTTGGAAGGATTTTGGGGGGATTTAGGGGGTGCTGGGGGAGATTTGGGGGGGTTTCGGGAGATTTTCGGGGAAAATTGGGGAGATCTGGGGAGGTTTTTGGGGGCTTTGGGGGGGATTTGGGGGAATTTTGGGGGGATTTGGGGAAGTTTTGGGGGAGATTTTGGGGGGGTTTGGGGGAAAATAGGGGGGATTTTGGAGGGTGTTGGGGGGGTTTGGGGGGATTTTGGGGGGAAATTTGGGTGGAATTTCGCAGCTTTTGTGGCTGAATTTCCACGAATTTCCAAACGGTTTTGATTTTTTTTGGTTTTTCTTTTTATTATTTTTTTTTAAATCTTCTGGTTTCTGGGGTTTTTTTTGGGATTTTTTTTTTTTTGGGTCTTGTTGGACTTTTTTTTGGAATTTTTTTGGAGGGATTTTTTAAATTTCATTTGTTTATTTGGGATTTTTTTAAATTTTTATTTTATTTTATTTAACTTTTAAAAATTTTTTTGTTTCTTGGGGCTTTTTTGGGATTTTCTTTTACATTTTTTTTTTTCGTTTTTTCTTTATTTTTATTTTTCTGGGACGGATTTCGAATTTTTTTTATTTTATTCAATTTTTTTGGGATATTTTTGGGATTTTTAAATTTTTTTTATTTTTTTTAATTTTTAATTTTTTAAAATTTTTTTTTAATTTAAAATTTTTTTTTCGGATTTTAAAAAAATTTTCTTTTTTTAATTTTTCCCTCTCCCCCTTTCCCAGGAGTGGGAGCGGGGGTCGCTGCCCCCGGAGGGGTCGGACGAGGAGGAGCCGCGGGTGGGGGAGGGGCGGGAGCGGGACGCCCCCTCCCCCCCCGGCGCTGCGGACGTGCAGACCCTGGCGGTGCTGCTGCAGGAGCAGCTGGAGGCCATCAACAAGGAGATCAAGTCAGTGGCACCCCAAAAATCCCAAATTCGGGCACCCCAAAAATCCCCCAAAATCCCCCAAAAATCCCCCAAAAACAGGAACCCAAAAAAACCCCAAAATTCCAATGTTTTCCCTAAAAATTTTGATTTTTTTCCCACAAAATTCTGAATTTTCCTCCCCAAACCAACTCCAGAAACATCAAAAATGGATCAAATCAGAGCCCCCAAAAATAAAAATTTGGGGACCCCAAAAATGCCCCAAAAATCCACCAAAAATCCCCCAAAAATCCCCCAAAATCCCAAAATTCAGAGATTTTGCCCCAAAATGCTGAAATTTCCCCCCCAAATCCACTCCAGAAGCATCAAAAAAGGATCAAATCAGAGCCCCCCAAAATAAAAATTTGGGGACCCCCAAAAAACCCAAAAATTCCCCCAAAAATCCCCCAAAATCCCCAAAAATGGAGAACCCAAAAAAACCCAAAATCCCCAAATTGTACCCAAAAATCTCAAAAATTTTCCCCAAAATCCACTCCAGGAGCATCAAAAAAGGATCAAATCAGAGCCCCCCAAAAATAAACATTTGGGGACCCCAAAATTCCCCCGGGACCCCCCCAAAAATCCCCAAAATCCCAAAATTCAGAGATTTTGCCCCAAAATCGCAGCCCAGGAGCAGCTGGAGGCCATCAACAAGGAGATCAAGTCAGTGGCGCCCCAAAAATCCCAAATTCGGGCACCCCAAAAATGGCCCAAAATCCCCCAAAAATCCCCCAAAATCCCCCAGCCTGAAAAACCCCAAAATTCCAACTTTTTCCCTCCAAATTTTGACATTTTCCCTCAAAAATCCTGAATTTTCCACCCTAAAATCAACTCCAGGAGCATCAAAAAATGATCAAATCAGAGCCTTAAAAATCCAAATTTGGGAACCCCAAAAAATGCCCCAAAATCCCCCAAAAATCCCCCAAAATCCGGGAACCCCAAAAACCCCAAAATCCCCAAAATTTTCCCCAAAAATCCGGAATTTTCCCCCCTAAAATCCACTCCAGGAGCATCAAAAAAGGATCAAATCAGAGCCCCCCAAAAATAAAAATTTGGGGACCCCAAAAATGCCCCAAAATACCCCAAAAATCCCCCAAAATCCCCAAACATCCCGAAAAAAATCCCATTAAAAATCCCCAAAAACCCCCCCAAAAAAATCCCAAAAATTCCCCTAAAAAATCCCATTAAAAATCCCCCAAAGCCCCCCAAAAAATCCCCAAAAAATCCCCAAAGATCCTAAAAAAACACCAAAAAAATCCCCCATAAAATCCCATAAAAAACCCCAAAAATCCCAAAAAATCCCCAAAAAAATCCCATTTTTGGGGTTCGCCCCAGGCTGATCCAGGCGGAGAAAACCCCAAAATTTGGGGGATTTTGGGTCATTTTGGGTCATTTTAGAGTGGAAATTCGGGATTTGAAGGGAATTTTTTTTATTTTTGGGGATTTTTGGGGATTTTTTTGGGATTTTTGGGTTATGGGACCCCCCAGAATTTTTGGGGACCCCCCAAATTTTGGGGTGCCCCTCCCAGGCTGATCCAGGAGAAGAAAACAACAAAATTTGGGTCATTTTGGGGTGGAAATTCGGGATTTTGGGGGTGATTTTTGGGGATTTTTGGGGATTTTTGGGGTATGGGACCCCCAAATTTTGAGGGGGGGTCCCCAAAATTTTTGGGGTGCCCCCCAGGCTGATCCAGTAGGACAAAATGATGAAATTTGGGTCATTTTGGGGTGGAAATTCGCGATTTTGGTGGGGATTTTTGGGGATTTTTTTGATTTTTGGGGTATGGGACCCCCTAAATTTTTGGGGACCCCCCCAAATTTTGGGGTGCCCCTCCCAGGCTGATCCAGGAGGAGAAAACGATAAAATTTGGTGTTTTTTGGGGTGGAAATTCGCGATTTTGGTGGGGATTTTTTTGGATTTTTTGGGATTTTTGGGGTATGGGACCCCCAAATTTTTGGGGACCCTCCGAAATTTTTGGGGTTCGCCCCAGGCTGATCCAGGAGGAGAAAACCCCAAAATTTTGGGGATTTTGGGTCATTTTGGGTCATTTGGGGGTGGAAATTCGGGATTTTAGGGTGGATTTTTTGGGATTTTTTTTTGATTTTTGGGGTATGGGGCCCCCAAATTTTTGGGACCCCCCCCCAAAATTTGGGGTCCCCCCCAGGCCGATCCAGTAGGACAAAATGACGAAATTTGGGGTTTTTTGGGGTGGAAATCCCGGATTTGAAGGGAATTTTTTGGGAATTTTTTGGATTTTTGGGGATTTTTTGGGTATGGGACCCCCAAATTTTTGGGGACCCCCCCAAATTTTGGGGTTCTCCCCCAGGCTGATCCAGGAGGAGAAAATAACGAAATTTGGGTCATTTTGGGGTGGAAATTCAGGATTTTGGTTGGGATTTTTTTGGCTTTTTTTGGATTTTTGGGGTATGGGACCCCCAAATTTTTGGGGACCCCCCCAAATTTTTGGGGTGCCCCTCCAGACTGATCCAGTAGGACAAAATGACGAAATTTGGGTCATTTTGGGGTGGAAATTCGGGATTTTGGTGGGGATTTTTTTGGGATTTTTGGGATTTTTGGGGTATGGGACCCCCCAAATTTTGAGGGGGGGTCCCCAAAATTTTTGGGGTCCCCCCAGGCTGATCCAGGAGGAGAAGGAGAACACGGAGCTGCGGGCGGAGGAGCTCGAGAGCCGCGTGGGGGGGGGGCTGGAGGGGACCCCCCCGGGGGGGGGGTCGCGCTTTCGGGGGACCCCCCCCCCAAATTTGGGGGGCCCCTCCCCCCCCGGCAGCGGCCGCTCCACCCCCCGCCCCGCCCCCCCCAGCCCCGCCCGAGAGGTGAGACCCCCGAAATTGGGGGGGGGTCCCCAAAAATGGGGAGGGGGGGAGAGAGAAAGGGGACCCCGAAATTTGGGGGGGGTCCTCAAAAATGGGGGGGGGGGAGAGAGAAAGGGGGGGGACCCCAAAATTTGGGGGAGGGAAAGGGGGAGGACCCCGAAATTGGGGCGGGGGTTCCCCAAAAATGGGGAGGGGGGAGAGAAAAAGGGGACCCCGAAATTTGGGGGGGGGAAGGGGGGGGACCCCGAAATTGAGGGGGGGTACCGAAAATGGGGGAGGGGGCTTCAAAATAAAAGGGGGGACCCCGAAATTTGGGGGGGGGTCCTCAAAAATGGGGAGGGGGGGAGAGATGGGGGGGACCCCGAAACTGGGGGGGGGGGAAGGGGGAGAACCCCGAAATTGGGGGGGGGTACCGAAAAATGGGGGGAGGGGGCTTAAAAAAAAGGGGGGACCCCGAAATTGGGGCGGGGGTCCCCAAAAATGGGGAGGGGGAGAGAGAAAGGGGGGGGAGCCCGAGATTGGGGGAGGGAAAAGGGGGGGGGGACGAGCCCGAAATTTCGGGGGGGTCCCCAAAATTGGGGGGAGGGGGCTTAAAAAATAAGGGGGGACCCCGAAATTGGGGGGGGGGGCAGAAATGGGGAGGGGGAGAGAGGGAGGGGACCCCGAAATTGGGGGGGGGGAGGAAAGGGGGAGGACCCCGAAATTTGGGGGGGGCACCGAAAATGGGGGGAAGGGGCTTCAAAAATTGGGGGGGGGTCCCGAAATTTGGGGGGGGTCCCGAAATTTGGGGGGGTCCCGAAATTTGGGGGGGTCCCGAAAAATGGGGAGGGGGGAGAGAGGGAGGGGACCCCGAAATTGGGGGAGGGGGGAGTCAAAAAAAGGGGGGGGACCCCGAAATTGGGGCGGGGGTCCCTAAAAATGGGGAGGGGGGGAGAGAGAAAGGGAGGGGACCCCGAAATTGGGGGGGGGGGTCCCCAGATTGGGGGGGGGAGGGACCCCAAAATTTGAAGGGGAATCCGAAATTGGGGAGGGGTTCCCGAAATTGGGGGAGGGGGCACCGAAATTGGGGAGGGGGTCCCCAGATTGGGGGGGGGCACCGAAAATGGGGGGAGTGGCTTCAAAAAAAAGGGGGGGGGACCCCGAAATTTTGGGGAGGGGGGAAATGGGGGGGACAAGCCCGAAATTTGGGGGGGGACACCGAAAATGGGGAGGGGTCCCGAAAAATGGGGAAAGAGGCAGAAATTGGGGAGGGGGGAGTAAAAAATGTGGGGGGGGACCCCGAAATTGGGGCGGGGGTCCCCAAAAATGGGGAGGGGGGAAGAAAGGGAGGGGACCCCGAAATTTGGGGGGGGCACCGAAAATGGGGGGGGGTCCCCAAGTTGGGGAGGGGGTCCCTAAATTGAGGGGGGATCCCCAAATTAAGGGGGGGTCCCCAAATTGGGGGGGAGGAGCCCGAAATTGGGGGGGGGAGCCCGAATTGAGGGGGGGTCCCCAAATTTGGGGGGGGTCCCCAAATTGGGGAGGGGGTCCCGAAATTAGGGGGGGAGTAGCCCGAAATTTGGGGGGGGGTCACCGAAAATTGGGAACCCAAAATTTGGGGAGGGGGCCCAAATCGGGTGAAGAGACCCCAAAAATTTGGGGAGAGGGTCCCCAAAAAAAGGGCGGGAAAGGCCAAATTTGGGTGGGGGGTTAAATGGGGGGGGGTGAAAGACCCTAAAAATAGGGGGGGGAGGGGAGGGGACCCCTCCCCAAAATAAAAAGGAGGGGAGGGAACCCCAAAATTTTTGGGGACCCCTCCCCAAATTTCGCTGCAGAACCACGTGACGAAGGAGGAGCCGCGGGGGGGGCGGAGGAGAAGGGGGGGGGTCCCGGAGACCCCCCCGCGACCCCCCGGACCCCCCGAGCCCCCCCGGGAGGGGCGGAGGAGGGGCGCGACCCCCGAGCGGGGTCAGGATTGGGGGATTTGGGGAATTTTGGGGGTTTGGGGGGGATTTGGGGTGATTTTAGGGGGATTTGGGGGGATTTGGGGGGGATTTGGGGGGTTTGGGGGGGAATTGGGGGGATTTTGGGGGGTTTGGGGGGTTTGGAGGGGATTTGGGGGGATTTGGGGGGGATTTTGGGGGGGATTTTGGAAGGATTTGGGGGGATTTTGGGGGGTCCTGGTGGAATTTTCGGGGGTTTTGGGGGGTTTGGGGGGATCTTGGGGGATTGGGGGGCTTTTGGGAGGATTTTGGGGGGATTTTGGGGTTCCTGGGCGGATTTTGGGGGATTTGGGGGAAACTTTGGGGGGATTTTGGGGTTCCTGGTGGAATTTTGGGGGGCTTTGGAGGGGGTTTTGGGGGGATTTTGGGGGTGCTGGGGAGGATTTGGGGGGAATTTCGGGGATTTTGGGGTTTCTTGGGAGATTTTGGGAGGATTTTGGGGGGTATTTTGGGGGGTTTGGGAGCATTTTCGGAGGGATTTTGGGGGGGATTTTGGGGAAACTTTGGGGGGATTATGGGGGGATTTTGGGGGAATTTTGGGGTTCCTGGGGGGGGTTTGGGGAGGATTTTTGGGTTTTTTTTGGGGGAATTTGGGGGATTTTGGGGTTCCTGGTGGGATTTTGGGGGCATTTTTGGGGGGAATTTGAGGATTTTGGGGATTTTGGGGGGGGTTTGGGAGAATTTGGGGAGGATTTTTGGGGGGAATTTGGGGGTTTTGGGCGAATTTTGGGGGGATTTTTGAGGGGAATTTTGGGGGAATTTGGGGATTTTGGGCTGAATTTCCGGGATTCACGCCCCTTTTTTGGGGCAGAAATTCGGGAATATTTCACCTTTTTCGCTGCAATTTTGGGCTTTTTTTGCTATTTCCGGTCTGGGTAAATTCGGGGGGGGGTCCCGGGGGTGACGCCCCCTCCCCAAATTTCCCAGAGCGCCCCCCGAGACCCCCCCGGACCCTCTGCACAAGACCCCCCCCAAAAAGAAAAGCATCAAATCCTCCATCGGCCGCCTCTTCGGCAAGAAGGAGAAAGGGCGGCTGGGACCCCCCCCAAGGGACCCCGCGCTGGGTGAGACCCCTCCCCAAATTACACCTGAGACCCCCAAAAAATCCCCCCAAAAATCCCCAAAAAAATCCCCGAAAAATTAAAAAAAAATTCAAAAAATTAGCAACAATAATCTCAAAAAAACACCAAAAAAACCCACCAAAAAATCCAAAGAAATCCGGATCAAATCCCAAAAATCCCCCTGGGTGAGACCCCTCCCCAAATTACACCTGAGACCCCCAAAAAAATCCCCCAAAAAATCACCAAAAAAAATTTTAAAAAATCCAAAAAATCGCCCAAAAGATCGCCAAAAAATAGAAAAAAATCTAAAAAAAAACCCAAAAAAACCCCACCCCAAAATCCCGAATAAAGCCTTAAAATCCCCTCAAAAATCCCCCCAAAAATCCCCAAAAATTAAAAAATAAAAAAAAAATCGCCAAAAAGATTGCAAAAAAATACAAAAAAATCGAAAAAAAACCCCCCGAAATCCCAAATAAATCCGGATCGAATCCCCCAAAATCCCAAAAATCCCCCAGGGTGAGACCCCTCCCCAAATTACCCCGGAGACCCCCAAAAAATCCCCCCAAAAAATCCCCAAAAAATAAAAAAAAAATCAAAAAAATCGGCCAAAAATTCGGCCAAAAAATCGACAAAAAATACAAAAAAATCGTTAAAATGCGATTAAAAATTGAGAATTCTTCCCTACTGCGGGAGGTGAGACCCCTCCCCAAATTATCCCGGAGACCCCCAAAAAAATCCCCAAAAAAAATCCCCAAAAAATCCCCCAAAAAATCCCCAAAAAATTTAAAAAAAAATCAAAAAAATCGCTAAAAAAATCGCCAAAAAATAAAAAAAAATCGTTAAAATGCGATTAAAAATTCCGAATTCTTCCCCCCCCCACGGGAGGTGAGACCCCTCCCCAAATTACCCCGGAGACCCCCAAAAAATCCCCCAAAATCACAAAAAAAATCCCCAAAAAAAACCCCAAAAATCCCAAAAAAATCCCCCCAAAAAATCCCCAAAAATCCCCAAAAAAATCCCATTAAAAATCCCCCAAAAGCCCTCAAAAAACCCCAAAAAATCAAAAAAAAATCCCATTAAAAATCCCCAAAATATCCCATTAAAAATCCCCCCAAAACCCCTCAAAAAATCCCCTCCAAAATCCCCAAAGAATCCCATTAAAAATCCCCCAAACCCCCCCAAAAAATCCAAAAAAAATCCCAAAAAACCCCAAAAAATCCCCAAAAAATCCCATTAAAAATCCCCCAAAACCCCCCGAAAAATCCCCCAAAGATCCTCAAAAAACTCCCAAAAAATCCCAAAAAAATCCCATTAAAAATCCCCCAAAACCCCCAAAAAAATCCCAAAAAAATCCCAAAAATCCCCCAAAAAATCCCAAAAAATCCTAAAATAATTCCCCACAAAAAAAAAAAACCAAAAATCCCAAAAAAATCCCCAAAAATCCTAAAAAGCCGCTTAAAAATCCCAAAAAAAGTCCCCGCCAAAAATCTCCAATAATCCCCTCAAAAATCCCAAAAAATCCCAAAAAACCTCCCCCAAAATCCCAAAAAATAAACCCCAAAAAAACCCTAAAAAAACCAAAAAAAACCCCCCAAAAAAAAAAAAAAATCCCCCCAAACCCCTCAAAAATCCCCCAAAAATCCCCCCAAAAGTCCCCCAAAAAATCCCCAAAAATCCAAAAAATCCTAAAAATCCGCTTAAAAATCCCAAAAAATCCCCCCCCAAATCTCCAATGATCCCACAAAATATCCCAAAAAATCCCCCCCAAAATCCCAAAAAAACCCTTAAAAAGCCAAAAAAATCCCCCCAAAAAATCCCCCCCCAAAATCTCCAATAATCCCCCAAAATATCCCAAAATATCCCAAAAATCCCCAAAAAAATCCCATTAAAAATCCCCCCAAAAAATTCCCCAAAAAATCACAAAAAAATCCCCCAAAAATTCAGGAAAAAACCCCAAAACCTTTGGAATTCACGAGGGTTTTTGGATTTTTTTGGGGATTTTTGGAATTTTGGGGGGGTTTTTTTGGGGATTTTTTTGGGATTTCTGGGATTTCTCAGGGTTTTGGGATTTTTGGGAATTTGGGGAATTTGGGGAGGGGTCCCAAAGCGTTTTTCAGGGGGGTTTCCCATTAATTTTGGGGGATTTCCTTTGAATTTTGGGGGGTTTTTTTTGAGGGTTTTTTGGGGTTTTCTTGGGATTGTTGGGAGTTTTTTTTGGGGTTTTTTTGGTGGGTTTTTTTTGGGGTTTTTTTTTGGATTTTGGGGATTTTTAGGGTTTTCTTTGATGGGTTTTTTTTTTGATTTTTGGGAATTTGGGGAGGGGTCCCAATGGGATTTTCGGGTGGTTTCCCATGAATTTTGGGGGATTTCCTTTGAGTTTTGGGGTATTTTTTTGGGGTTTTTTTTTTTTTTTTTCGGGTTTTTTTTTCGGGTTTTTTTTTGGATTTTGGGGAATTTTGGTATTTTTTGGGAATTTGGGGAGGGGTCTCACTGTCCCCCCCCATCCTGAGCCGGTCCCTATTTGGGGGGGGTTCCATTAATTTTGGGGTATTTCCTTTGAATTTTGGGGTATTTTTTTAGGGTTTTTTTTGGGTTTTTTCGGGATTTTTTTTGGGTTTTTCGGGAATTTTGGGATTTTTGGGATTTTTGGGAATTTGGGGAGGGGTCTCACCTGTCCCCCCCCCAGCCGGGACCCCCTCGGACGAGCCGGGCCCCCCCGAGGCGCTCGGCCTGAGCAAACTGCCGGGGGGGGTGGAGAAGGACCGGAGGAGCCGCAAAAAGTGAGGGGGGGTCCCCAAATTGGGGAGTTTGGGGGATTTTGGGGGATTTGGGGGGATTTGGGGGGATTTTGGGGGGATTTGGGGGATTTGGGGGGTATTTGAGAGGATTTTGGGGGATTTTGGGGAGAATTTGGGGGATTTGGGGGGATTTTGGGGGATTTTGGGGGGATTTTGGGGGGATTTGGGGGGATTTGGGGGATTTTGGGGGAAATTTGGGGGGATTTTGGGGATTTTGGGGGGGTTTGGGGGAGATTTTGGTTGGATTTTGGGGGGGATTTGGGGGAATTTGGGGGAATTTGGGGGATTTTGGGGGAATTTGGGAGGGATTTGGGGGATTTTGGGGGGTCTGGGGGGGATTTTGGGAGGGATTTTGGGGGATTTTGGGGAATTTTGGGGGGATTTTGGGGGATTTTGGGGGAAATTTGGAAGATTTTGGGGGAAATTTGGAAGATTTTGGTGGGTCTGGGGTGGATTTTGGGGGATTTGGGAGGGATTTGGGGGATTTTGGGGGGTCTGGGGGGGATTTTGGGGAATTTTGGGGGGATTTGGGGGATTTTGGGGGGAATTTGGAAGATTTTGGTGGGTCTGGGGTGGATTTTGGGGGATTTGGGGGAGATTTTGGTGGGATTGGGGGGGTTTTGGGGGGGCATTTGGGGGGATTTTGGGGAAATTTGGGGGGATTTTAGGGGGGATCTGGGGGGAATTGGGGGGATTTTGGGGGATTTTTTTTTATTTTTGGGGGGATTTTGGGCTGAATTTGGGGGATTTTGGGGTCGGTGAATTTGGGGAGGGGTCCCGGGGCGGTTTTGGGGTGAATTTTGGGGGTTTTGGTTAATTTGGGGAGGGGTCTCTGAGGGATTTTTGGGGTTTCTTTCGGGGATTTTGCGGTGGATTTTCGGGATTTTTTGGGCTGAATTTGGGGGATTTTGGGAAAATTTGGGGGATTTTGGGGGGGATTTTGGGGGTCCCGATTTGCTGAATTTGGGGAGGGGTCCCGGGGGATTTTTGGGGTGAATTTTGGGGGTTTTGGGTAATTTGGGGAGGGGTCCGCAGGCACGAGCTGCTGGAGGAGGCTGAATTTGGGGGATTTTGGGGTGAATTTGGGGGATTTTGGGCTGAATTTGGGGGATTTTGGGGAGGATTTTGGGGGTCCCGATTTGGTGAATTTGGGGAGGGGTCCCGGGGGAGTTTTGGGGTGAATTTTGGGGTTTTTGGGTAATTTGGGGAGGGGTCTCTGGAGGATTTTGGGGTTACTTTCGGGGATTTTGGGGTGAATTTGGGGGATTTTGGGGGGATTTTGGGGGTCCCGGGTGGTTGAATTTGGGGAGGGGTCCCGGGTGGGTTTTGGACTGAATTTGGGGGATTTTGGGCTGAATTTGGGGGATTTTGGGGTGAATTTGGGGGATTTTGGGGGGGATTTTGGGGGTCCCTGTTGGGTGAATTTGGGGAGGGGTCCCGGGGGATTTTTGGGGTGAATTTTGGGGGTTTTGGGTAATTTGGGGAGGGGTCCGCAGGCACGAGCTGCTGGAGGAGGCTCCGGGGGGGATTTTGGGCTGAATTTGGGGAGTTTTGGGAGGATTTTGGGGTGAATTTGGGGGATTTTGGGGAGGATTTTGGGGGTCCCGGGTGGGTGAATTTGGGGAGGGGTCCCGGGGGATTTTTGGGGTGAATTTTGGGGGTTTTGGGTAATTTGGGGAGGGGTCCGCAGGCACGAGCTGCTGGAGGAGGCTCCGGGGGGGATTTTGGGCTGAATTTGGGGTGAATTTGGGGGATTTTGGGGGTGATTTTGGGGGTCCCGGGTGGGTGAATTTGGGGAGGGGTCCCGGGGGAGTTTTGGGGTGAATTTTGGGGGTTTTGGGTAATTTGGGGAGGGGTCCGCAGGCACGAGCTGCTGGAGGAGGCGTGCCGCCAGGGACTGCCCTTCGCCGCCTGGGACGGCCCCACCGTGGTGTCCTGGCTCGAGGTGAATTTGGGGGGAAAACGCCCGAATTTGGGAAAAAAACAAAATTTGGGGAAAAAACTCCCAAAATTTGGGGAAAAATGCAGAAATTTAGGAATAAAACAAAAAAATTTGGGGAAAATATCCCAAAATTTGGGAAAAAAGATCTGAAATTTGAGAAAAAACCCCAAAATTTAGGGGAAAAAAAATCTGAAATTTGGGAAAAGAACCCCCAAAATTTGGAAAAATAAACCCCAAAATTTTGGGGAAAAAACCCCAAAATTTGGGAAAACAATGGAGAAAATAAGGAAAAAACCCCAAAAATGTGGGAAAAAAACACAGAAATTTGGGGGAAAAACCCGAAATTTGGGAAAATAATTTGAAATCTGGGGGAAAAAAAACCCCAAAAATTGGGAAAAAAACCGCAAAATTTGGGAAAACAATGCAGAAATTTGGGGGGAAAAGAGCGGAATTTGGGGAAAAAACCCCCAAAATTTGGGAAAAAAAGTCTAAAATTTGGGAAGAAAAACCCAAAATTCGGGGAAAAAAATCCCAAAATTTGGGAAAAAAAATCCGTAAAATTGGGGGGGGGGAAAAAGAGAATTTTGGGGCAATCCGGGAGATTTTGGGGTTTTTGGGGGGTTTTTCGGCCTCGGGGCTCCCCCCACCCACCTCTGAAGCCCCCAGACCCATTTCTGGAGCCCCCAGACCCATTTTAGGAGCCCCCAGCTTAATTTTAGGAGCCCCCAGCCCCATTTTTGAAGTCCCCAGACCCATTTTAGGGACCCCAGACCCATTTTAGGGACCCCAGACCCATTTTAGGAGCTCACAGACCCATTTCTGAAGCCCCCAGACTCAGGATTTTTGTGGTTTTTTGGGGTTTTTCGGGCTCGGTGCTCCCCGTACCCATTTGGGGAGCCCCCAGCCCCAATTTTTGGGATCCCAGACCCATTTTAGGAGCACCCAGACCCATTTTTGAAGCCCCCAGACCCATTTTTTAGTACCTCAAGTGTATTTGGCAATATCCTGGGATGGAAATCCAGGAGATTTTGGTTTTTTTGGGGGGTTTTGGGGGTTTCTTTTGGGGTTTTTTGGGCTCGAGGCTCCCTGTACCCATTCGGGGAGCCCCCAGACCCATTTTTGAAGCCCCCAGACCCATTTTTTAGCACCCCAGGCGTGTTTGGCAATATTTTGGGATGGAGATCCAGGAGATTTTGGTATTTTTAGGGGGGGTTTCAGGTTTTTTTGGGGTTTTTTTGGTTTTTCGGGCTCGGCGCTCCCAGTACCCATTTTAGGGGACCCCAGACCCATTTTAGGAGCCCCCAACCCCATTTTGGAAGCCCCCAGACCCATTTTTGAAGCCCCCAGACCCATTTTAGGAGCCCCCAGCTGTGGTGGGCGATATCCTGGAATGAAAATCCAGGAGATTTTGGGTTTTTTTGGGGGTTTTTTGGGGTTTTTCGGGCTCGGCACTCCCCGTACCCATTCGGGGAGCCCCCAGCCCCATTTTTGAAGCCCCCAGACCCATTTTCGAAGCCCCCAGACCCATTTTATAGTACCTCAGGTGTATTTAGCAATATCCTGGGATGGAGATTTGGGGTTTTTTTGGGGTTTTTCGGGCTCGGCGCTCCCCGTACCCATCCGGGGAGCCCCAAGCCCCATTTGTGAAGCCCCCATCCCCATTTTAGGAGCCCCCAGACCCATTTTAGGAGACCCCAGCTGTGGTGGGCGATATCCTGGAATGAAAATCCGGGAGATTTTGGGGTTTTTTTGGGGTTTTTTTGGGGTTTTTTTGGGGTTTTTCGGGCTCGGCGCTCCCCGTACCCATCCGGGGAGCCCCCAGCCCCATTTGTGAAGCCCCCAGCCCCATTTCGGGCTCCCCGGCAGGTGTGGGTGGGGATGCCCGCCTGGTACGTGGCCGCCTGCCGCGCCAACGTGCGCAGCGGGGGGGTCTTGGCCAACCTGTCGGACCCCGAAATCCAACGGGAATTGGGGATCTCGCACCCCCTGCACCGGCTGAAGCTGCGCCTGGCGGTGCGGGAGATGGTGTCGCTCACCAGCCCCTCCGCGCCGCCCTCCTCGCGCACCGTGAGTGTGCAAACCGGTGTGCAAACGGGTGTGCAAATCGGGAATCTATAGGGGAATTTATAGGGGGATTTATAGGGGAATGTATGGGGGGAGTTATGGGGATAGGGGATTTGGGGAGGGGGATTTGGGGAGGGGGATTTGGGGTCTCAGAGCGGGGGATGGTGTCACTGAGCAGCACCGGGAGTGTGCAATGAGTGTGCAATGGGTGTGCAAATGGGTGTGCAAATCGGGAATGTATAGGGGGATTTATAGGGGAATGTATAGGGGGAGTTATAGGGGGAGTTATGGGGAGAAGGGATTTGGGGAGGGGGATTTGGGGTCTCAGAGCGGGGGATGGTGTCACTGATCAGTCTGTCTGTGCCCCCTCCTCGCGCACCGTGAGTGTGCAAACGGGTGTGCAAATCGGGAATCTATAGGGGGATTTATAGGGGAATCTATGGGGGGATTTATAGGGGGAGTTATGGGGAGAAGGGATTTGGGGAGGGGGATTTGGGGAGGGGGATTTTGGGTCTCAGAGCGGGGGATGGTGTCACTGATCGGCACCGTGAGTGTGCAAATGAGTGTGCAATGGGTGTGCAAATGGGTGTGAAAATGGGCGTGCAAATCGGGAATCTATGGGGGGATTTATAGGGGAATGTATAGGGGAATTTATGGGGAGAAGGGATTTGGGGAGGGGGATTTGGGGAGGGGGATTTGGGGTCTCAGAGCGGGGGATGGTGTCACTGATCAGTCTGTCTGTGCCCCCTCCTCGCGCACCGTGAGTGTGCAAATGGGTGTGCAAATGGGCGTGCAAATCGGGAATCTATAGGGGGATTTATAGGGGGATTTATAGGGGGAGTTATAGGGGAAGTTATAGGGGAGTTATGGGGAGAAGGGATTTGGGGAGGGGGATTTGGGGAGGGGGATTTGGGGAGGGGGATTTGGGGTCTCAGGGTGGGGGATGGTGTCCCTCACCAGCCCCTCCACGCCGCCCTCCTCGCACACCGTGAGTGTGCAAATGAGTGTGCAAATCGGGAATCTATAGGGGGATTTATAGGGGGAGTTATAGGGGGAGTTATAGGGGAGTTATGGGGAGAAGGGATTTGGGGAGGGGGATTTGGGGTCTCAGGGCGGGAGATGGTGTCGCTCACCAGCCCCTCCGCGCCGCCCTCCTCGCGCACCGTGAGTGTGCAACGGGTGTGCAAATGGGTGTGCAAATGGGGATTTATATTGGGAATGTATACAGGAGTTTGTGGGGGATTTATGGGATTTCTTGGGGGGATTTATGGAGATTTTTTGGGGAATATTTTGGGAATTTTTGGGGGTATTTTGGGGGATTTATGGGGGGATTTTTTTGGGATTTATGGGGATTTATGGGGAATTTATGGGGAATTTATGGGAATTAATGGGGGATTTTTTGCAATTTATGGAGAATTTACAGGGACTATATGGGGGATTTTTTGGGATTTATGGGGATTTATGGGGGATTTATTGGAATTTATGGGGGATTTTTGGGGGATTTATGGGGGATTTATGAGGAAATTTTGGGATTTTTTGGGGAATTTATGGGGATTTATGGGGGATTTATTGGAATTTATGGGGGATTTTTGGGGGATTTATGGGGGATTTTTTTGGAATTTATGGGGAATTTGTGGGGGATTTATGGGGATTTTTTGGGAATTTATGGGGGATTTATGGGCGATTTTTTTGGAATTTATGGGGAATTTATGGGGGATTTTTTTGGGATTTAAGAGGGATTTATGGGAAATATTTTGGGAATTTATGGGGGATTTATGGGGAATTTATGGAGAATTTTTTGGGAATTTCTGAGGGGATTTATGGGGGATTTTTGGGGTATATTTTGGGAATTTTTGGGGGCATTTATGGAGAATTTTTGGGGGAATATTTTGGGAATTTTTTGGGGCATTTATGGGGATTTATGGGGAATATTTTGTGAATTTTTTTTGAATTTTGGAGGGAAATTATGGGGGATTTTTGGGTAACTTACAGATAATTTTTGGGGGATTTATGGGGGATTTTTTTTTTTTAATTTATGGGGGATTTATAGAGGTTTTTTTGGGGAATAATTTGGGAATTTATGGGGCATTTAAGGAGAATTTTGGGGGATTTTGGGGGGATTTTTTGGGAATTTATTGGCAATTTTTGGGGAATTTATGGGGGGATTTATTGGCATTATTTGGGGAACAATTTGGGGGATTTTTGGGGCATTCACGACGCCTCCGTGACGTCATTTCCTCTAATGACGGCGCCATTTCCCGCCCGAATGACGTCATTTCCTGCCCGAATGACGTCACGCCGCGGCCGATGACGTCACCGCCGGCAGTGCACGGGGAACGTGTGGATGACGCACGAGGAGATGGAGTCACTTCCGGCCACGCCCACCGCGGTCAGAGCCCAATTTGGGGCATTTGGGGGATTTTGGGGCATTTGGGGGAATTTGAGGGATTTGGGGGGATTTTGGGGGGAAATTTGGGGGATTTTGGGGAAATGTGGGGGATTTTGGGAAAATTGGGGGAATTTTCAGAAAATTTGGAGGATTTTGGGGGGAAATTTGGGGGATTTTGTGAAAATTTGGGGGATGTTGGGAAAAATTGGGGGATTTTGGGGGGAAATTTGGAGGATTTTCAGCGGATTTGGGGGGCATTTTGAGGGGATTTTGGGGGGAATTTGGGGAAATATGGGGAATTTAGGGGAATTTGGGGAATTTTAGGAGGAATACTAGTGGAGATTTGGAAAAAATTTGGGGGATTTTGGGAGATTTTGGGAGGGATTTGGGGGGGAAATTGGGCAAATTTGGAGGGATTTTGGGGAATTCGGGGGAATTTGAGGGATTTGGGGAGATTTGGGGGAATTTTGGAAGGCGATTTTGGGGAAATTGGTGGATTTTGGGACCCCTGACCCCACTGGGGAAATCTGGGGGGCTTTTGGGGGATTTTGGGGGGATTTTGGGGAGATTTTGGGGGATTTTGGGACCCCTGACCCCCGTTTTTTCCCCCTCAGGAGCCGCGGGAGATCAGCTGGGAACAGGTAGGGGGCGGGGCTTCACAAGGGGGGCGGGGCCTAAAAGGGGGCGGGGCTTCAAATGGGGCGTGGTTTGCTCAATGGGGCGTGGCTTCACAAGGGGGCGTGGCATCCGTGATGGGGCGTGGCTTGATCAGGTCCTGGCAGGGTTAAATGGGGGTTGAAAGGGACCACAGCCAGGTCCTGGCAGGGACATAAAATTCTGGGGTGCTGTAACCAGGTCCTGGCAGGGATATAAAGCTTTGGGGTGCTGTAACCAGGTCCTGGCAGGGATATAAAGGTTTGGAGTGCCATAGCCAGGACCTGGCAGGGATATGGAGGGTTTGGAGTGCCAAAGACAGGTCCTGGCAGGGAAATAAACCTTCGGGGCAGCCATAGCCAGGTCCTGGCAGGGCTATGGAGATTCGGGGGTGCCATAACCAGGTCCTGGCCGGGATATAAAGCTTCAGGGGTGCCATAGCCAGGTCCTGGCAGGGCTATAAAGCCCCGGGCTCCCCCCCACAGATCCTGGCGCACGGGGACATGAACCACGAGTGGGTGGGGGTGCCATAGCCAGGTCCTGGCAGGGAAATAAACCTTCGGGGGTGCCATAACCAGGTCCTGGCAGGGATATAAAACTGCGGGAGTGCCATAAACAGGTCCTGGCAGGGCTATGGAAATTCAGGGGTGCCATAACCAGGTCCTGGCAGGACTATGGAGGTTTTTTGAGTGCCATAACCAGGTCCTGGCAGGGATATAAAGCTGCAGGAGTGCCAAAGACAGGTCCTGGCAGGGATATAAAGGTTGGGGTGCTATAGCCAGGTCCTAGCAGGGTTATAAACCATCGGGAGTGCCATAACCAGGTCCTGGCAGGGATATAAAATTCTGGGGTGCTATAGTCAGGTCCTGGCAGGGATATAAAGCTTTAAGGTGCCATAGCCAGGTCCTGGCAGGGATATGGAGATTCGGGGGTGCCATAGCCAGGTCCTGGCAGGGTTATGGAGGTTTTTTGAGTACCATAACCAGGTCCTGGCAGGGATCTAAAGCCCCGGGGGTGCCATAGCCAGGTCCTGGCAGGGATATAAAGCCCCGGGGCTGCCATAGCCAGGTCCTGGCAGGGCTATGGAGATTCGGGGGTGCCATAGCCAGGTCCTGGCAGGACTATGGTGGTTTTTGAGTGCCATAGCCAGGTCCTGGCAGGGATATAAAGCTGCGGGAGTGCCATAGCCAGGTCCTGGCAGGGATATAAAGCTGCGGGAGTGCCATAGCCAGGTCCTGGCAGGGATATGGAGATTCAGGAGTGCCATAGCCAGGTCCTGGCAGGGATATAAAGCTTTAAAGTGCCATAGCCAGGTCCTGGCAGGGATATAAAGCTGTGGGCTCCCCCCCCGCAGATCCTGGCGCACGGGGACATGAACCACGAGTGGGTGGGGGTGCCATAGCCAGGTCCTGGCAGGGATATAAAACTGCGGGAGTGCCATAGCCAGGTCCTGGCAGGGATATGGAGATTGTGGAGTGCCATAACCAGGTCCTGGCAGGGATCTAAAGCCCCGGGGGTGCCATAGCCAGGTCCTGGCAGGGATATAAAGCTGTGGGCTCCCCCCCCGCAGATCCTGGCGCACGGGGACATGAACCACGAGTGGGTGGGTGTGTCATAGCCAGGTCCTGGCAGGGATATGGAGATTGGGGGCTGCCATAGCCAGGTCCTGGCAGGACTATGGTGGTTTTTGAGTACCATAACCAGGTCCCGGCAGGAATATAAAGCCCCAGGGCTCCCCCCGCAGATCCTGGCGCACGGGGACATGAACCACGAGTGGGTGGGTGTGCCATAACCAGGTCCTGGCAGGGATATGGTGCTTTTGGAGTGCCATAGCCAGGTCCTGGCAGGGATATGGTGCTTTTGGAGTGCCATAGCCAGGTCCTGGCAGGGCTATAAAGCCCCGGAGCTGCCATAGCCAGGTCCTGGCAGGGATATAAAGCCCCGGGGTGCCCCCCGCAGATCCTGGCGCACGGGGACATGAACCACGAGTGGGTGGGTGTGCCATAACCAGGTCCTGGCAGGGATATGGTGGTTTTTGAGTGCCATAGCCAGGTCCTGGCAGGGCTATAAAGCCCCGGGGTGCCCCCCGCAGATCCTGGCGCACGGGGACATGAACCACGAGTGGGTGGGGAACGAGTGGCTGCCCAGCCTGGGGCTGCCCCAGTACCGCAGTTACTTCATGGAGTCGCTGGTGGACGCGCGGATGCTCGACCACCTCAGCAAGAAGGAGCTGCGGGGGCAGCTGAAGATGGTGGATTCCTTCCACCGGTGAGAGGGACAACCCCGGGATGGGGGGAAATGGTGAAAAGTGGGAAAAAATGGGGGAAAAGTTGGAAGAAAATCTAAAAAATTTGAGAAAAATGGTGAAAAAGTTGGGGGGAAATGAAAAAAAGTTGGGGGGAAAAGGGGGAAAGTTGGGGGAAATCTCAAAAGTGTGAAAAAATGGGGGAAAGTTGGGGGGAAATGGGGGAAAGTTTGGGGGGGAATCTCAAAAGTGGGAAAAAATGGGGGAAAAGTTGGTGGGAATGGGGAAAAGTTGGGGGGAATGGGGAAAAGTTGGGGGAAATCGCAAAAGTGGGAAAAAATGGGGGAAAAGTTGGGGGAAATGGGGAAAAGTTGGGGGAAATGATGGAAAATTTGGAGGCAATGGTGAAAAAATTTGGGGAAATGGGGAAAAGTTGGGGGGAAATGGGGAAAAGTTGGGGGGAAATCGCAAAAGTGGGAAAAAATGGGGGAAAAGTTGGGGGAAATGGGGGAAAGTTGGGGGAAATGGGGAAAAGTTGGAAGAAAATCTCAAAAATTTGAGAAAAATGGTGATAAAGTTGGGGGAATGGGGGAAAGTTGGGGGGAATGGGGGAAAGTTGGGGGGAAATGGTGAAAAATTGGGGGGAATGGGGGAAAGTTGGGGGGAAATGGGGGAAAGTTGGAAGAAAATCTCAAAAGTTTGAGAAAAATGGTGAAAAAGTTGGGGGAAATGGGGAAAAGTTGGGGGGAAATGGGGAAAAAGTTGGGGGGAAATGGGGAAAAGTTTGGTGAAAAGTTGGGGGGAATGGGGGAAAGTTGGGGGGAAATGGGGAAAGTTGGGGCGAAATGGGGAAAAGTTGGAAGAAAATCACGAAAGTTTGAGAAAATGGTGAAAAAGTTGGGGGAAATGGGGGAAAGTTGGGGGGAATCATTAAAAGTTTGAAAAAATGGGGAAAAGTTGGGGGGAATGGGGAAAAGTTGGGGGGAAATAGTGAATATTTGGAAGAAAATCTCAAAAGTGGGGAAAAAATGGTGAAAAATTTGGGGAAATGGGGAAAAGTTGGGGGGAATGGTGAAAAGTTTGGTGAAAAGTTTGGGGGAAATGGGGAAAGTTGGGGGAATGGGGAAAGGTTGGGGGGAAATCTCAAAAGTGTGAAAAAATGGGGAAAAGTTGGGGGGATGGGGAAAAGTTGGGGGGAATAGGGAAAAGTTTGAAAAAATGGGGAAAAAGTTGGGGGGATGGGGAAAAGTTGGGGGAATCATTACAAGTGTGAAAAAGTGGGGGAAAAGTTGGGGGGAATGGGGAAAAGTTGGGGGGAATGGGGGAAAGTTGGGAGAAAATCTCAAAAGTTTGAGAAAAATGGTGAAAAAGTTGGGGGGATGGGGAAAATCTCGGGGGGAAATGGTGAAAAGTTTGGTGAAAAGTTTGGGGGAAATGGGGAAAGTTGGGGGGAAATGGGGAAAAGTTTGGTTAAAATTTTGGGGGAAATGGTGAAAGTTGGGGAAAATAATTAAAAGTTGGTGGAAATCATTAAAAATTGGGGGAAATGGTGAAAAGTTGGGGGGAAATGGGGAAAGGTTGGGGGAAATGGGGAAAAGTTGGGAAAATGGGGGAAAGTTGGGGGAAATGGGGAAAAGTTGGGAGAAATCGCTAAAAGTTGAGGGAAATGGTGAAAAGTTTGGGGGAAATCATTAAAAGTTGGGGGAAATGATGAAAAATTTGGAAGCAATGGTGAAAAATTTGGGGGAATGGGGAAAAGTTGGGGGGAATGGGGGAAATGTTGGGGGCAATGGGGAAAAGTTGGGGGAAACCTCAAAAGTTTGGTTAAAAGTTTGGGGAAAATGATAAAAAGTTGGGGGAAATCATTAAAAGTTGGGGGAAATCATTAGAAGTTGGAGGAATGGTGAAAAGTTTGGTTAAAAGTTTGGGGGAAATGGTGAAAAGTTGGGGGAAATGGTGAAAAGTTTGAAGAAAATCTCAAAAGTGGGAAAAAATGGTGAAAAAGTTGGGGGGAAATGGTGAAAAGTTGGGGGAAATGGGGAAAAGTTGGGGGGAAATGGAGAAAAGTTGGGAGGAAATGGGGAAAAGTTGGGAGGAATGGGGAAAAGTTGGGAGGAAATGGGGAAAAGTTGGGAGAAAATCTCAAAAATTTGAGAAAAATGGTGAAAAAGTTGGGGGAAATGGTGAAAAGTTGGGGGGAAATCGTTAAAAGTTGGGGGGAATGGGGAAAAGTTGGGGGAAATGGTGAAAAATTTGGAGGCAATGGTGAAAAATTTGGGAGAATGGTGAAAAGTTGGGGGAAAATGGGGAAAAGTTGGGGGAAATCTCAAAAGTTTGAGAAAAATGGTGAAAAAGTTGGGGGGAATGGGGAAAAGTTGGGGGGAAATGGGGGAAAGTTTGGGGGAATGGGGGGAAATTGGGGGAAATGGGGAAAAGTTGGAAGAAAATCTCAAAAGTTTGAGAAAAATGGGGAAAAAGTTGGGGGGAATGGGGAAAAGTTGGGGGGAAATGGGGAAAAGTTGGGGGGAATGGGGGAAAGTTGAGAGAAAATCTCAAAAGTTTGAGAAAATGGTGAAAAAGTTGGGGGAAATGGGGGAAAGTTGGAAGAAAATCTCAAAAGTGTGAAAAAATGGTGAAAAAGTTGGGGGGAATGGGGAAAGTTGGGGGGAAATCACAAAAGTTTGAGAAAATGGTGAAAAAGTTGGGGGGAATGGGGAAAAGTTGGGGGGAAATGGGGAAAAGTTGGGAAAATGGGGAAAAGTTGGGGGAAAATGGGGAAAAATTGGGGGGAAATGGGGAAAAGTTGGGGGAAAATGTGGAAAGTTGGGGGAAATGGGGAAAAATTGGGGGGAAATGGGGGAAAGTTGGAAGAAAATCTCAAACGTTTGAAAAAAATGGTGAAAAAGTTGGGGGGAAATGGGGAAAAGTTGGGGGAAATGGGGAAAAGTTGGAAGAAAATCTCAAAAGTTTGAGAAAAATGGTGAAAAAGTTGGGGGGAAATGGGGAAAAGTTGGGGGAAATGGGGAAAAGTTGGGGGAAATCATTAAAAGTTGGGGGAAATGATGAAAAATTTGGAGGCAATGGGGAAAAATTTGGGGGAATGGGGAAAAGTTGTGGGGAATGGGGGAAAGTTGGGGAGAATCTCAAAAGTGGGAAAAAATGGGGAAAAAGTTGGAAGAAAATCACAAAAGTTTGAAAAAATGGTGAAAAATTTGGGGGGAAATGGTGAAAAAGTTGGGGAAAATTGGTGAAAGTTGAGGGGAATGGGGAAAAGTTGGGGGGAAATGGGGAAAAGTTGGGAGAAAATCTCAAAAGTGTGAAAAAATGGGGGAAAAGTTGGGGGAAATCTCAAAAGTTTGAGGGAAATGATGAAAAAGTTGGGGGGAAATGGGGGAAAGTTGGGGGAAATGGGGAAAGTTGGGAAAATGGGGAAAAGTTGGGAGAAAATCTCAAAAGTTTGAGAAAAATGGTAAAAAAGTTGGGGGGAATGGGGGAAAGTTGGGGTGAAATGGGGAAAGTTGGGGGAAATCGTTAAAAGATGGGGGAAATGATGAAAAAGTTGGGGGAAATGGGGAAAAGTTGGGGGGAAATCTCAAAAGTGTGAAAAAATGGTAAAAAAGTTGGGGGGAAATGGGGAAAAGTTGGGGGGAAATGGGGAAAAGTTTTGTTAAATTTTGGGGAAAACCTCAAAATTTTGGGGTGACGTTACAACCCTGAGGAGACTTTGGGAACCCCAGGGTGCCCCAACCCCCTTTAAACGACCCTGGGACCCCCGAGGTGACTTTGGGGACCCCGAGGTGACTTTGGGGACCCCCAAATTGGCTTTGGGGACCCCCCAGAGCGACCCCAGCCCCCCAAAAATGACCCCAAACCCTCCCCGGGGTCACTTTGGGACCCCTGGGATGACTTTGGGGTGCCCCCAACCCCCTTTAAACGACCCGGGGTGGCCTCAGGGTGACCTGGGGACCCCGAGGTGACTTTGGGGACCCCCAAATTTGCTTTGGGGACCCCCAGGGTGAGCCTCCACTACGGCATCATGTGCCTGAAGCGCCTCAACTACGACCGCAAGGAGCTGGAGCGGCGGCGGGAGGAGAGCCAGGGGGGCACCTCGGGTATGGGGGGTCCTGGGGGAATTTGGGGGGATTTGGGGGGGTCCTGAGGAGGTTTGGGGGGGTCCTGAGGGGATTTGGGGGGCTCATGAGGGGTTTTGGGGGGGTCTCGGGGGGATTTGGGGGGGTCTCGGGGGGATTTGGGGGACAGATTTGAGGAGGGACCATCCGTATGGGAGAGTTGGGGGGTCTCTGGGGAGGTTTGGGGGGGTCCTGGAGGGTCCTGAGGGGGTCTTTGGGATCGTGGAGAGGTTTTGGGGGGGTCCTGAGGGGATTTGGGGGGGGTCTCAGAGGGATTTGGGGGTCCCCGGGGTCAGAGTTGGGGACATATCGCTGATATGGGGGAGAATGGGGGGGGATTTTGGGGGGTCCTGGAGGGTCCTGATGGGGTCCTTTGGGTCCTGAGGGGATTTGGGGGGGTCCTGAGGAGGTTTGGGGGGGTCTCGGGGAGATTTGGGGGGGTCCTGAGGAGGTTTGGGGGGGGTATCAGGGGGATTTGGGGGGGTCTCGGAGGAATTTGGGGGTCCCCGGGGTCGGAGTCAGGGAGGGATCGCTGATATGGGGGAGAATGGGGGGGATTTGGGGGGTCCTGGAGGGTTCCGAGGGGGTCCTTGGGGTCTGGGGGTGTCGTGGAAGGGATTTGGGGGGGTCCTGAGGGGATTTGGGGGGGTCCTGAGGGGTTTTGGGGGGGTCTCGGAGGAATTTGGGGGTCCCCGGGGTCGGAGTCGGGGAGGGATCGCTGATATGGGGGAGTCGGGGGGGATTTTGGGGGGTCCTGGAGGGTTCTAAGGGGGTCCTTTGGGTCTGGGGGTGTCGTGGAAGGGATTTGGGGGGTCCTGAGGGGATTTGGGGGGGTCTCAGGGGGATTTGGGGGTCCCCGGGGTCGGAGTCGAGGAGGGATCTCTGATATGGGGGAGAATGGGGAGGATTTTGGGAGGATTTTGGGGGGTCCTGGAGGGTCCTGAGGGGGTCCTTGGGGTCCTGAGGGGTTTTGGGGGGGTCCTGAGGGGATTCGGGGGGTCTCGGAGGGATTTGGGGGGGTCCTGAGGAGGTTTGGGGGGGGTCTCGGAGGAATTTGGGGGTCCCCGGGGTCGGAGTTGGGGAGGGATCGCTGATATGGGGGAGAATGGGGGGGATTTTGGGGGGATTTTGGGGGGTCCTGGAGGGTCCTGAGGGGGTCCTGAGGGGATTTGGGGGGGTCCTGAGGGGATTTGGGGGGTCCTGGGGGGATTTGGGGGGGTCCTGAGGGGTTTTGGGGGGTCTCGGGGGAATTTGGGGGTCCCCGGGGTCAGAGTTGGGGAGGGATCGCTGATATGGGGGAGAATGGGGGGGATTTTGGGGGGATTTTGGGGGGTCCTGGAGGGTCCTGAGGGGGTCCTTTGGGTCCTGAGGGGATTTGGGGGGGTCCTGAGGGGATTTGGGGGGGTCTCGGGGGGATTTGGGGGGGTCTCGGGGGGATTTGGGGGTCCCCGGGGTCAGAGTTGAGGAGGGATCGCTGATATGGGGGAGAATGGGGGGGATTTTGGGGGGATTTTGGGGGGTCCTGGAGGGTCCTGAGGGGGTCCTTTGGGTCTCGGGGTATCGCGGAGGGGTTTTGGGGGGCTCCTGAGGGGTTTTTGGGGGGGTCTCGGGGGGATTTTGGGGGGTCTTGAGGGGATTTGGGGGGGTCTCAGAGTCGGAATCAGGGAGGGATCGCTGATATGGGGGAGAATGGAGGGGGATTTTGGGGGGTTTGGGGGGGTCCTGAGGAGGTTTGGGGGGGTCTCAGGAGGATTTGGGGGGTCCTGAGGGGATTTGGGGGGTCTCGGAGGGATTGGGGGGTCTCGGGGGATTTGGGGGTCCCCGGGGTCAGAGTTGGGGAGGGATCGCTGATATGGGGGAGAAAAGGGGGATTTTGGGGGGTCCTGGAGGGTCCTGAGGGGGTCCTGAGGGGATTTGGGGGGGTCCTGAGGGGATTTGGGGGGTCCTCAGGGGGATTTGGGGGGGTCTCGGAGGGGATTTGGGGGGGGTCTCGGGGGGATTTTGGGGGTCCCCGGGGTCAGAGTCGAGGAGGGATCGCTGATATGGAGGAGAATGGGGGGGATTTTGGGGGGTCCTGGAGGGTCCTGAGGGGGTCCTTGGGGTCTGGGGGTGTCGTGGAGAGGTTTTGGGGGGCTCCTGAGGGGTTTTGGGGGGGTCCTCAGGGGGATTTGGGGGGGTCCTGAGGGGATTTGGGGGGATCTCGGAGGGATTTTGGGGACCCCCGGGGTCAGAGTCGGGGAGGGATCGCTGATATGGGGGAGTCGGGGGAGATTTTGGGGGGATTTTGGGGGGTCCTGGAGGGCCCTGAGGGGGTCCTTGGGGTCTGGGGGTGTCGTGGAAGGGATTTGGGGGGGTCCTGAGGGGTTTTGGGGGGTCCTGAGGGGATTTGGGGGGGTCTCGGAAGGATTTGGGGGTCCCCGGGGTCAGAGTCGGGGAGGGATCGCTGATATGGGGGAGAATGGGGGGGATTTTGGGGGGTCCTGGAGGGTCCTGAGGGGGTCCTTGGGGTCTGGGGGAGGGGTCGTGGAAGGGATTTGGGGGGTCCTGAGGGGATTTGGGGGGGTCTCAGGGGGATTTGGGGGGTCCTCAGGGGGATTTGGGGGGTCTCGGAGGGATTTGGGGGTCCCCGGGTTCAGAGTCGGGGAGGGATCGCTGATATGGGGGAGAATGGGGCGAATTTTGGGGGGTCCTGGAGGGTCTTGAGGGGGTCCTTGGGGTCTGGGGGTGTCGTGGAAGGGATTTCGGGGGGTCCTGAGGCGATTTGGGGGGGGCCTGAGGAGGTTTGGGGGGGTCCTGAGGAGGTTTTGGGGGGGTATCAGGAGGATTTTGGGGGTCCCCGTGGTCAGAGTCGAGGAGGGATCGCTGATATGGGGGAGAATGGGGGGGGATTTTGGGGGGTTTGGGGGGGTCCTGGAGGGTCCTGAGGGGGTCTTTGGGGTCTGGGGGTGTCGTGGAAGGGATTTGGGGGGGTCCTGAGGGGATTTGGGGGGATCTAGGAGGGATTTCCGGGGGTCTCAGGGGGATTTGGGGGTCCCCGTGGTCAGAGTTGGGGAGGGATCGCTGATATGGGGGAGAATGGGGGGGGGATTTTGGGGGGATTTTGGAGGGTCCTGAGGAGGTTTGGGGGGGTCTCAGGGGGATTTGGGGGGTCCTGAGGAGGTTTTGGGGGGTCTCGGAGGGATTTGGGGGTCCCCGGGGTCAGAGTCGGGGAGGGATCGCTGATATGGGGGAGAATGGGGCGAATTTTGGGGGGTCCTTGGGGTCCTGAGGAGTTTTGGGGGGGTTCTGAGGGGATTTGGGGGGGTCCTGAGGGGATTTGGGGGGGGTCCTGAGAAGGTTTTTGGGGGATCTCGGGGGGATTTGGGGGTCCCCGGGGTCAGAGTCGGGGAGGGATCGCTGATATGGGGGGATTTTGGGAGGTTTTGGGGTGTCCTGGAGGGTCCTGAGGGGGTCCTTGGGGTCGGGGGGTGTCGTGGAAGGGATTTGGGGGGTCCTGAGGGGATTTGGGGGGGTCTCGGGGGGATTTGGGGGGTCTCGGAAGGATTTGGGGGTCTCCGGGGTCAGAGTTGGGGAGGGGTCGCTGATATGGGGGAGAATGGGGGGGGATTTTAGGGGGTCCTGGAGGGTTCTGAGGGGGTCCTTGGGATCGTGGAGAGGTTTTGGGGGGGTCCTGATGGGGTTTGGGGGGGTCTCGGAGGGATTTGGGGGTCCCCGGGGGGATTTGGGGGTCCCCGGGGTCAGAGTTGGGGAGGGATCGCTGATATGGGGGAGAATGGGGGGGATTTTGGGGGGATTTTGGGGGGATTTTGGGGGGATTTTGGGGGGATTTTGGGGGGTCCTGGAGGGCCCTGAGGGGGTCCTTGGGGTCTGGGGGTGTCGTGGAAGGGATTTGGGGGGATCCTGAGGGGATTTCGGGGGGTCTTGAGGGGATTTGGAGTATCCTGAGGGGATTTGGGGTGTCCCGAGTGAATTTTGGGGGGTCTCGGGGGGATTTGGGGGGTCAGAGTTGGGGAGGGACCATCGGGATGGGGGAGCCAAGGGGGGCTCCGGGGGGTTTGGGGGGATCCCGGGTCGGGATTTTTGGGGTTCCCCGGGATTTTTGGGGTACCCCACAGATTTTGGGGTGCCCCAGATGTGGTGGTGTGGTCCAACGAGCGGGTCAGCGCCTGGGTGGGGATTTGGGGGTCCCTGGCTGGGGATTTGGGGGATTTTTGGGATCCCTGTAGGTTTGCAGGTTTCGGGTTGGATTTGGGTGATCCGGGGCGGGATTTTTGGGGTTCCCCGGGATTTTTGGGGTCCCCCGGGATTTTTGGGGTGTCCCCGGGATTTTTGGGGTGCCACCGGAATTTTGGGGTGCCCTAGATGCGGTTCAGAGTGGGTCAGCGCCTGGGTGGGGATTTGGGGGTCCCTATAGGTTTATGGGTTTTGGGTGAAATTTGGGGAATTTTGGGCGATCCGGGTCGGGATTTTTGGGGTTCCCCGGGATTTTTGGGGTGTCCCCGGGATTTTTGGGGTACCCCACTAATTTTGGGGTGCCGCAGATGTGGTGGTGTGGTCCAACGAGCGGGTCAGCGCCTGGGTCAGGATTTGGGGGTCCCGGCTGGGGATTTAGGAGATTTTTGGGGTCCCTTTAGGTTTACGGGTTTTGGGTGAGATTTGGGGGATTTTGGGCGATCCGGGTCGGGATTTTTGGGGTTCCCCGGGATTTTTGGGGTACCCCACTAATTTCGGGGTTCCCCAGATGTGGTGGTGTGGTCCAACGAGCGGGTCAGCGCCTGGGTCGGGATTTGGGGGATTTTTGGGATCCCTGTGAGATTTTGGGATCCCTGTGGGTTTTGGGGTTTTGGGTTGGATTTGGCCGATTCGGGTCGGGATTTTTGGGGTGCCCCGGGATTTTTGGGGTACCCCACAGATTTTGGGGTTCCCCAGATGTGGTGGTGTGGTCCAACGAGCGGGTCAGTGCCTGGGTGAGCAGCGTGGGGCTGCGGGAGTTCGCCCCAAATTTGGGCGAGTCGGGCGTTCACGGGGCGCTGCTGGCGCTGGACGAGAGCTTCGACTGGGCCGACCTGGCGCTGCTGCTGCAGATCCCCACCCAGAACTGCCAGGTGCGACTGGGGATACTGGTTTATACTGGTTTGTACTGGGAGGGACTGGTCCCCCAATGTCCCCAGTGTCCCCCAATGTCCCCAAATGTCCCCAATGTCCCCAATGTCCCCCAATGTCCCCAATGTCCCCAATCCCCCCAATGTCCCCATTGATGTCCCCAATCCCCCCAATGTCCCCGATGTCCCCAATGTCCCCAATGTCCCCAATGTCCCCAATGTCCCCAATGTCCCCAATGTCCCCAATCCCCCCAAATGTCCCCAAATGTCCCCAATGTCCCCAATGTCCCCAATGTCCCCCATCCCCCCAATGTCCCCAATGTCCCCAATGTCCCCATGTCCCCAATGTCCCCAATGTCCCCAATGTCCCCCATCCCCCCAATGTCCCCAATGTCCCCAATGTCCCCATGTCCCCAATGTCCCCAATGTCCCCCATCCCCCCAATGTCCCCAATGTCCCCAATGTCCCCCATCCCCCCAATGTCCCCAATGTCCCCAATGTCCCCATGTCCCCGATGTCCCCCTTGATGTCCCCTCCCTCCTCAGGCGCGGCAGCTGCTGCAGAAGGAATTCGGCGCTTTGATCTCGGCGGGCACCGAGCGGCGCCTCGATGAGGTGGGGGAGGGGCGGGACCACCAAAAACCACCGGGACCCCAAATCCCCCCAAAATCCCCCCAAAAAACTCCAAATCCCCCCAAAATTCCCCAAAATCCTCTAAAATTCCTCCAAATCCCCCCTAAAACCTCCCCAGTTTGGTCCCAAATCCCCCCAAAATTCACTTCCAAGACCCCCCAAATCCCCCCAAAATTCCCCTCCAAGACCCCCCCAAAATTCCCCTCCAAGACCCCCCAAAATTCCCGCAAAATTCCCCTCCAAGACCCCCCCAAAATTCCCCCAAAATTCACCTCTGAGACCCCCCAAAATTCCCCCAAAATTCCCTTCTGAGACCCCCCAAATTCCCCCCAAATTCCCCTCAGAGACCCTCTCAAATTCCCCCAAAATTCCCCTCCGAGACCCCCCCAAATCCCCCCAAAATTCCCATCCGAGACCCCCCAAAATGCCCCCAAAAATCCCCCCAAATGCCCCCAAAGTTCCTCTCCGAGACCCCCCAAATCCTCCCAAAATTCCCCCCAAGACCCCCCAAATTACCCGAAAATTCCCCTCCAAGACCCCCCAAATGCCCCCAAAATTCCCCTCCGAGACCCCCCAAATCCCCCCAAAATTCCCCAAAATCCCACCAAGGCCCTCTCAAAATACCCCCAAATCCTCCCCAAATTCCCCCAAAATCCTCTAAAAATTCCTCCCAAATCCCCCCTAAAACCCCCCCAAAACCCCCCCAAAATCCCCCCAAGACCCCCCAAATCCACCCAAAATTCCTCCAAATCCCCCCAAAATTCCCCAAAATCCCACCAAAACCTTCCCAAAATTCAAAAAAAATCCCCCCAAGACCCTCCCCAAAATCCCCCCCAAATCCTCCCCAAATTCCCCAAAATCCTCTAAAATTCCTCCAAATCCCCCCCTAAAATCCCCCCAAAATTCCCCACCAAGACCCCCCAAATCCACCCAAAATTCCCCAAAATCCCACCAAGGCCCTCTCAAAATCCCCCCCAAATCCACCCAAAATTCCCCAAAATCCCACCAAGGCCCTCTCAAAATCCTCCCAAAATCCCCCCAAATCCCCCAAAATTCCTCTCCATGACCCTCCCAAAATTCCCCAAAATCCCCCTTAAACCCCCCCAAAATCCCCCCCCAAGTCCACTTTAACCCCCAAAATACCCCCAAAATCCCCCTAAACCCCCCAAAATTCCCCTCCAAGACCCCCCAAAATCCCCCCAAATCCCCCTCCCACCACCCCGGGGGGGGGTCTCAGATTTCGGGGTGCCCCCCAGGACGCCCCCAGACCCTTCAGGACCCTAAAATCCCCCCCAAAATCCCCCCCAAAATCCCCCCCAAAATCCCCTTTTACTCCCCCAAATCCCCCCCAAAATCCCCTTTTTTCCCCCCAAAATCCCCCCAAATCCCCCCAAATCCCCCTCCCACCGCCCCGGGGGGGCTCTCAGATTTCGGGGTGCCCCCCAGGACGCCCCCAGACCCTTCAGGACCCCCAAAATCCCCCCAAAATCCCCCCCAAACCCCCCCAAAATCCACTTTAACCCCCCCAAAATACCCCTTAAACCCCCCAAATCCCCCCCAAATCCCCCCAAAAACCCCCCAAATCCCCCCAAATCCCCCTCCCACCACCCCGGGGGGGTCTCAGATTTCGGGGTGCCCCCCAGGACGCCCCCAGACCCTTCAGGACCCTAAAATCCCCCCAAAATCCCCCAAAATCCCCTTTTACCCCCTAAAATCCCCCCCAAATCCCCCCAAAATCCACTTTAACCCCCCCAAATCCCCCTCCCACCGCCCCGGGGGGGGTCTCAGATTTCGGGGTGCCCCCCAGGACGCCCCCAGACCCTTCAGCCGCTCCCCGTCCTGGCGGAAGCTGTTCCGGGAGAAGGAGCTGCGGGGGGGGGGTCCCGATGCCACCGAGATGTTGCCCCCCAACTTTCGGGGGGCGCCCCTGGGGACCCCCCCCCTGCCCCTGCGCAAGGTCCAGCCCGACGGTGAGGGGGGGGGGAATTTGGGGAGGGGTCCTGGGGGGCTTGGGGGGGGTTTAGGGGAGGTTTGGGGGGGATTTGGGGGGATTTGGGGGGGATTTGGGGGGATTTTGGGGGAGATTTGGGGGAGATTTGGGGGGGATTTGGGGGTCTTGGGGGAGACTTGGGGGAAATTTAGGGGGATTTTGGGTTCCGGGGGGAAATTTGGGGGAGATTTGGGGGGATTTTATGGAGATTTGGGGGATTTTGGGGGGATTTGAGGGGTTTGGGGGGTTTTGGGGGGGATTTGGGGGGTCTGGGGTTGATTTGGGGGGGTTGAGGGGGAAATTTGGGGGAGATTTGGGGGGTCTTGGGGGCATTTGGGGAAATTTGGGGGGGTTTGTGGGGTCTTGGGGGAAATTTGGGGGAGATTTGGGGGCATTTGGGGGGATTTGGGGGAAATTTGGGGGGGTTTGTGGAGTCTTGGGGGAAATTTGGGGGAGATTTGGGGGGATTTTGGGGGATTTTGGGGGTCTGGGGTTGATTTGGGGGTGTTGAGGGGAAATTTGGGGGGGATTTTGGGGGGCTTGGGGGGAATTTGGGGGGATTTTGGGGGTCTGGGGTTGATTTAGGGGGGGTTGGGGTGGATTTTGGGGGGGATTTTGGTGGTCTTGGGGGAGATTTGGGGGAAATTTGGGGGGATTTGGGGGTCTGGGGGGAAATTTGGGGGAGATTTTGGGGGGATTTTGGGGGTCTGGGGGATTTGGGGAGGGGTCTTGGAGGGATTTTTGATGCCGGGGGGGTCAATTTTGGGGGGTCGTGGGGGGCTCGGGTTGGGGGAATTTGGGGAGGGGTCGTGGGGAGGATTTTGGGGGCAAATTTGGGGGGATTTGGGAAAATTTTGGGGGGATTTTCGGGGATTTTGGGGGGGGATTTGGGGGGATTTTGGGGGATTTTCGGGGATTTTGGGGGATTTTGAGGGTCTGGATTTTTTTGGGGGGTCTGGATTTTTTGGGGAGGGGTCTCGGGGGGTTTTTTGGGGGGTCCTGACCCCCCATCCCCCCCCCAGGGAACTCGCTGCCCCCCCCGAGGGGCGATGGGGGGGTCTCGGTCCGGACCTACTCCTGCTAACGGTGAGGGGGGGTCCCCAAAATTTGGGGGGGGGGTCGTGGCAGGGTGGGAAATTGGGGAGGGGTCTCGGCTGTCCAATTTGGGGGGGGTGGGGCTGAAAATTTGGGGGGAGGGGTCTCAATTTTGGGTGAATTAAGGGGGTTTTTTTTGGGGGGGGGTGAAGAATTTGAGTGGGGGTCTTCAATTTTTTTGGGGGGGTCCTCAATTTTGGGGAGGGGGATTCTCAATTTGGGGTTGGAAGTGAAAAATTTGGGGCTCCCCATTTTTTGGGGACCCCCCTCATTTATTTCCCCCCCCCCGCAGGGTCCCTGACCTGATGAAACCTTCGTGGGGGGGGGCGACCCCCAAAATCCCCCTCCCCAAATTCCCCCCCCCATGTCGGTGATTGGGGGGTGCGGGTGAATTTTGGGGACCCCCCCCCAAAAAAAAAATCGCTGAGCCCTTTTTTGGGGAGGGGGCTCTGCCTCTGCTGCTATAAAATTTGGGGGGGGGGTTTGGGGGTCCCCCCTCCCCCCCCTTGACGCCCCCTCCCCATTTTCTCCCCCCGGCGATGGGGGAGGGGGGCGCGGGGGGGTCTGCATGGAAAACCCAATAAAAAAATGGGGCGAAAACCCCAAAAACTGCAAAATGTGGAATTTTTGGGGACCCCTCCCCAAATAAAAGGGGTGGGGTCTCTTCGAGCCCCCCCAAGGACCCCCAAAATCCCCCCAAAATCCCCCCAAAACCCCCCAAAATCCCCCCAAAATCCCCCCAAAACCCCCCAAATCCCCCCAAAATCCCCCCAAAATTCGCGTTCGTCCTTTCAAGCTTTTTATTTCCACCCCCCCCACCCCCAAAATAATTTGGGGAGGGGGCGCCAGGGTGGGGGAGGGGGTGGGGGGGGTCTTCAACCCTCGCCCCCCCCCCAAAATCCCCTCAAGCTTCGGGGGGCTCGAAGAATTTGGCGAGTGACCTGTGGGGGGGGAGGGGCGAGGGGGGTTAAATTTGGGGTGGGGGCGCCCCCAAAATCAGCTGAGGGGGGGGATTTGGGGGGTGGGGGGATTTTGGGGGACCCCTCCCCAAATTTGGGGGGGCACTTACTGCAGCAGCGCTCCCGAGAGTTCGTCCACGAGGCTGCCTGTGGAATTTGGGGGGATTTGGGGGGGCTCAGGGGGGTTTGGGGTCCCGGGGGGATTTTTGGGGGGGATTTTGGGGTCCCGGGTGGATTTTGGGGGTCCCGGGACGGATTTTGGGGGAGATTTTGGGGTCCCGGGATGGATTTCGGGGTCCCGGGATGGATTTTGGGGGGATTTTGGGGGTCCCGAGGTGGACTTTGGGGGGGATTTTGGGGTCCCTGAGTGGATTTTGGTGGTCCCGGGATGGATTTTTGGGGGGATTTTGGGGGTCCCGGAGTGGATTTTTGGGGGGATTTTGGGGTGAATTTTGGGGTCCCGAGGGGAATTTTGGGGTGAATTTTAGGGTCCCGGGGCGGATTTTGGGGTGAATTTTGGGGTCCCGGGGCGGATTTTGGGGTCTCGGGGCGGATTTTGGGGTCCCCGGGCGGATTTTGGGGTCCCGGGGTAGATTTTGGGGTGAATTTTGGGGTCCCGGGTGGATTTTTGGGGTCCTGGCGAATTTTGGGGGGGGATTTTGGGGGTCCCGGCGGATTTTTGACGTCCCGGGGCGGATTTTGGGGTGGATTTTGGGGGTCCCAGGTGGATTTTGGGGTCCCGGGATGGATTTTGGGGTCCCGGGGTGGATTTTGGGGGGATTTTGGGGTTCCGGGTGGATTTTGGGGGAGATTTTGGGGGTCCCGGGGTTGATTTTGGGATCCCAGTGTAGATTTTGAGGGGTCCCGGGGCGGATTTTGGGATCCCAATGTAGATTTTGGGGTCCCGGGTGGATTTTGGGGGGGATTTTGGGGTCCCGGGATGGATTTTGGGGGGGGAATTTTGGGGTCCCGGGATGGATTTTGGGGGGGATTTTGGGGGTCCCGGAGTGGATTTTGGGATCCCAGTGTAGATTTTGAGGGGTCCCGGGGCGGATTTTGGGGTCCCGGGGGTGGATTTGGGGTTGATTTTGGGGGTCCCCGGGTGGATTTTGGGGGGGATTTTGGGGGTCCCAGGTGGATTTTGGGGTCCCGGGATGGATTTTGGGGTCCCGAGGCGGATTTGGGGGGTCCCGGGGCGGATTTTTGGGTGGATTTTGGGGTTCCGGGTGGATTTTGGGGGGGATTTTGGGGTTCCGGGTGGATTTTTGGGGGGATTTTTGGGGGTCCTGGGGTGGATTTGGGGGTCCCGGGATGGATTTGGGGGTCCCAGTGTTGATTTTGAGGGGTCCCGGAGCGGATTTTGGGGGTCCCGGGTGGATTTTGGGGTGAATTTTTGGGATCCCGGGGCGGATTTTGGGGGTCCCGAGGCGGATTTTGAGGTGAATTTTTGGGGTCTCGGGGTGAATTTTGGGGTACCCGGTGGATTATGGGGTCCCGGGGCAGATTTTGGGGGGGATTTTGGGGTCCCGAGACGGATTTTGGGGGAGATTTTGGGGTCCCGGGGTTGACTTTGGGGTCCCGAGCGGATTTTAGGGTCCCGGGGCGGATTTTGGGGGTCCCGGAGTGGATTTTTGGGGTCCCGGGGCGGATTTTGGGGGTCCCGGGTGGATTTTGGGGTGAATTTTTGGGATCCCGGGGTGGATTTTGGGGGTCCCGGGGCTGATTTTGGGGTGAATTTTGGGGTCCCGGGGCGGATTTTGGGGGTCCCGGGGCGGATTTTGGGGCGGATTTTGGGGTCCCGACGGATTTTGGGGCGGATTTTGGGAATCCCGGGGCGGATTTTTGGGGATCCCGAGGCAGATTTTGGGGGTCCCGGGGCGGATTTTGGGGGTCCCAGTGTTGATTTTGAGGGGTCCCGGGGCGAGTTTTGGGGTGGATTTTGGGGTCCCGGGGCGGATTTTGGGGTGGAATTTTGGGGTCCCGGGGCGGATTTTTGGGGGTCCCGAGGGGATTTTGGGATGAATTTTAGGGTCCCGGGGCTGATTTTGGGGTGGATTTGGGGGTCCCGGGGTGGATTTTGGGGTCCCGGCGGATTTTGGGGCGGATTTTGGGGTGAATTTTGGGGTCCAGGGGTGGATTTTGGGGGTCCCGGGGCGGATTTTGGGGCGGATTTTGGGGTCCCGGGGTGGATTTTGGGGATCCCGGGGTGGATTTGGGGTTGATTTTGGGGGTCCTGGGGTTGATTTTGGGATCCCGGGGGTGGATTTGGGGTTGATTTTGGGGGTCCCCGGGAGGATTTTCGGGTGAATTTTGGGGTCCCGGGGCGGATTTTTGGGGCTCCCGGGGGAGAATTTGGGGTGAATTTTTGGGGTCCCGGGGCGGATTTTGGGATCCCGGGATGGATTTTGGGGTCCAGGGGCGGATTTTAGGGTGAATTTTGGGATCCTGGGTGGATTTTGGGGTCCCGGGTGAATTTTGGAATCCCGGGTTGGATTTTGGGGTGAATTTTGGGAATCCCGGGGCTGATTTTAGGGGTCCCGGGGCGGATTTTGGAGCGGATTTTGGGGATCCCGAGGCGAATTTTGGGGTGGATTTTGGGGTCCCGGGGCTGATTTTGGGGTGGATTTTGGGGTCCCGGGGCGGATTTTTGGGGGTCCCGAGGGGGATTTTGGGGTGAATTTTGGGGTCCCGGGGCTGATTTTGGGGCGGATTTTGGGGTCCCGGCGGATTTTGGCTTCCCGGGGTGAATTTTGGGGTCCCGAGGCGGATTTTGGGGTGAATTTTGGGGGTCCCGGGGAGGATTTTGGGGTGGATTTTTGGGGTCCCGGGGCTGATTTTGGGGCGGATTTTGGGGTCCCGGCGGATTTTGGGGTGAATTTTGGGGGTCCCGGGGAGGATTTTGGGGTCTCACCCGGCCGGCAGGCGGTGTCGCACAGGAGGGGACAGAGGTAACAGAGCTGACAGCCCTGGGGGCAAAAAGGGAATTTTGGGGGGTCCCAGAGGGGTCGGGGGGGTTTGGGGGGATTTTGGGGGATTTTTGGGGGATTTTAGGGGGATTTGGGGGGATTTGGGGGGATTTTTGGGAAGATTTTGGGAGGTTTGGGGTGATTTTGGGGGAATTTTGAAAGACTTTGGGGGATTTTGGGGGATTTTGGGGGGATTTTGGGGGATTTTGGGAGGTTTGGGGGGATTTTGGGAGATTTTTGGAGGATTTTGGGGGGATTTTGGGGGATTTTTGGAGGATTTTGGGGAGCTTTTGGGGGTTTCGGGGGGGTTTTGGGGATTTTGGGGATTTTTTGGGGGGTTTCAGGAAGGACTTCGGGAGATTTTGGGGATTTTAGGGGGAACTTGTTTTTTGGGGGGAGTCTATTGAGGAATTTGGGGGCGTTTTAGGAGGGTTTTAGGGGTTTTAGGGGGGTTTTGGGGATTTTGGGGATTTTGGGGGATTTAGGGAGATTTTGGGGGGATTTGGGGGGATTTTTGTGGTGTTTTGGGGGATTTTTGGGGGATTTTGGGGGATTTCGGGGGGATTTTGGCGGGTTTTGAGGAGGTTTTGGGGGGTTTTGGGGGGGCTTTGGGGGGATTTCGGCGGATTTGGGGGGGGTTTGGGGGGATTTGGGGATTTTGGGGGATTTGGGGGATTTGGGGGGAATTTGGGGGGTTTTGGGGATTTTGGGGTCACCTGGCAGGGGGGACAGGGGTCCCCGGGGTCCCCCTCGGTGCACGGGCAGCGGGAGCAGCGCCGGCAGTGCTGGGGGGGAAATTTGGGGGGGTCAGGGGGTACAAAACCCCCCAAAAAAACCCCCAAAATCCCCCCAAAACCTCCCAAATCCCCCAAAATTGCCCCAAACCCCCCCAAAAAAACCCAAAATCCCCTCCAACCCCCCCTAAATCGCCCCAAATCCTCCCAAAATCCCCCCAAATCCCCCCAAATTCTTCGAAATGTCCCCCAACCCCCCGAATGACCCCAAATCCCCCCAAATTTCCCAAAATCCCCCAAATTTCCCAAAATGCCCCCCAAAATCTCCCAAATTTTTCCGAAATCCGTCAAATCTCCCCAAAACCCCTCCAAATTCCCCCCAAATTTCCCTCAAATCCCCCCTAATTTCCCAAAAATCCCCAAATTTCTCCAAAATCCACCCCAAAATCCCCCAAATGCCCCCAAAATCCCTAAAATCCCCCAAATCCCCCAACTCCCCCCAAAATCTTGCAAATACCCCCAAAATCCCCCAAAATCCTCCAAATCCCCCCAAATTCCCTCAAATCCCCCCAAAATCCCCGAATTTCTCCAAAATCCCCAAAATCCCCCCAAAATCCCCCAAAATTCCCCAAATCCAACCAAATTCTCTCCAAATCCCCCCAAATTCCCTCAAACCCCCCCAAATCCCCAAAATACCCCCAAAATACCGCAAATTCTGTCCAATTCCCCTCAAAATCCCCCAAATTTTCCCAAAATCCCCCCAAATTCTCCAAATCCCCCCAAAATCCCCTAAAATTCCCAAAATCCCCCCAAATTTCCTCAAATCCCCCAAAATTCCCAAAATCCCCTGAATCCCCCCAAAATTCCCCAAAATCCCCCAAATTCTGTCCAATTCCCCTCAAAATCCCCCCAAAATCCTCCCAAAATCCCCCCAAAATCCCCCCAAATTTCCCCCAAATTTCCCCCAAAATCCCCCCAAAATCCCCCCAAATCCCCCAAAATCCCCCCAAATTTCCCCAAAATCCCCCCAAACCCCCCAAATCCCCAAAATCCCCCAAAATCCCCCCAAATTTCCCCCAAATTTCCACAAAATTGCCCCAAATCCCCCCAAATTTCCCCCAAAACCCCCCAAATCTCCCCAAAATCCCCCAAATCCCCCCAAAACCCCCCAAATTTCCCCTCCCCACCTTGCAGTAGCGGCAGTAGCGGCAGACGGAGCCGGGCCGGTACCGCCCTTCGGCCTCACCTTCCTCCTCCTCCTCCTCCTCCTCTTCCTCACTCCCTGCGTTGGGGGGATGGGCTCAAATATCCCCAAAAATCCCAAAATTCCCCCAAAATTCCCCAAAATCCACCCAAAAAATTTCCCACCTTCCTCCTCCTCCTCTTCCTCGGAGCTGTGGCCGCCATCTTCCTCTTCCTCATCTTCATCATCGTCATCGCTGCCTTCCTCCTCCTCCTCCTCCTCCTCAGAGCTGGGGGGGCCGCGACCTTCATCATCATCATCATCATCGTCGTCATGGTGATGGTGGCCTTCATCCACCCGGGTTTGACCTTCATCATCATCGTCATGGTGACGGTGGCCTTCATCCACCCTCAGTTGACCTTCATCATCGTCGTCATGGTGATGGTGGCCTTCATCCACCCGGGCTTGGCCTTCATCATCATCGTCATGGCGACGGTGGCCTTCATCCACCCTCTGTTGGCCTTCATCATCGTCATCGTCGTCATCCTCATGGTTGCCATGGTGATGATGATGATGGTGGTGACCGGGGGAGCCTTCATCCCCCTGATGATGAGGAAGGTGATGAAGGTCACTGGGGGAGCCTTCATCGCTCTGGTGATGATGATGATGATGATGGAGGGGGTCAGCGGGGGAGCCTTCATCCCCCTGATGATGATGATGATGGAGAGGGTCAGTGGGGAAGCCTTCATCCCTCCGGTGATGATGATGATGATGATGGAGGGGGTCAGCGGGGGAGCCTTCATCCCCCTGATGATGATGATGATGAAGGTGACCAGGGGAGCCTTCCTCGCTCAGCTGAGGATGAGGATGATGAGGATGAGGATGAGGATGATGAAGGTCGCCGGGGGAGCCTTCATCCCCCTGCTGAGGATGAGGATGAGGATGATGAAGGTGACCAGAGGAGCCTTCCTCGCTCTGCTGAGGATGAGGATGATGAGGATGATGAAGAGGATGATGAAGGTGACCGGGGGAGCCTTCCTCGCTCTGCTGAGGATGATGAAGGTGAGAGGGGGAGCCTTCATCCCCCTGAGGATGATGAGGATGAGGATGATGAAGATGAGGATGAGGATGAAGCTCTCCTGAGGCCGCCCCCGTCCTGAGGAGCAGCAGCAGCAGCAGCAGCTGCAGTGTGGCCGGAGCCATGAGTGACCACTGACCGCTGAGTGACCGCTGAGTGATCAATGAGTGATCAATGAGTGACCGCTGAGTGACTGCGGAGTGACCGTTGAGTGATCACAAAATGACCAGCTCTGAGTGACCGCTGGGTGACCGCTGAGTGACTGCTGGATGACCGCTGAGTGACCGCTGACTGACCACAAAGTGACCGCTGGGTGACCGCTGAGAGATCACAGAGAGACCTCAGAGTGACCACAGAGTGACCGCTGAGAGACCATGGAGTGACCACTGCTGAGTGACCTCAGAGTGACCAGTGCCAAATGACCACGGAGTTACCAGTGCTGAGTGACCATGGAGTGACCGCTGAGTGACCGCTGACTGACCACAAAGTGACTGCTGGGTGACCGCTGAGTGACCACTGAGTGACCGCTGGGTGACCACAGAGAGATCACGGAGAGACCTCAGAGTGACCACAGAGTGACCGCTGAGAGACCATGGAGTGACCAGTACTGAGGACTGCTGAGTGACCACGGAGAGACTTCAGAGTGACATCGGAGTGACCGCTGAGTGACCGCTGAGAGATCACGGAGTGACCGCTGGGTGACCGCGGAGAGATCACGGAGAGACCTCAGAGTGACCACAGAGTGACCACTGAGTGACCGGTGCTGAGTGACCACAGAGTGACCACGGAGTGACCTCAGAATGACCACAGAGAGACCTCAGAGTGACCAGAGAGTGACCGCTGAGTGATCACTGAATGACCACTGACCATTGAGTGACCGCTGAGTGACCGCTGAGAGACCTCAGAGTGATGTTGGAGTGACCGCTGAGTGACCAGTGCTGAGTGACCACGGAGTGACCGGTGCTGAGTGACCGCTGAGTGACCTTGCAGTGATCTCTGAGAGACCGGTGCTGAATGACCACAGAGTGACCGCTGAGTGACCGCTGGATGAACGCTGAGAGACCTCAGAGTGACCGCTGAGTGACCGCGGAGTGACCGGTGCTGAATGACCAAAGTGACCACTGGGTGACCGCTGAGAGATCACGGAGAGACCTCAGAGTGACCACAGAGTGACCGCTGAATGACCATGGAGTGACCAGTACTGAGGACTGCTGAGTGACCACGGAGAGACTTCAGAGTGACATCAGAGTGACCGCTGAGTGACCGCTGAGTGACCGCTGAGTGACTGCTGAGTGACCTCAGAATGACATCAGAATGACCACGGAGTGACCACGGAGTGACCGGTGCTGAATGACCACGGAGTGACCTCGGAGTGACCGCTGCTGAGTGACCGGTGCTGAGTGACCTCAGAATGACATCAGAATGACCACGGAGTGACCACGGAGTGACCACAGAGTGACCGCTGAATGACCACGGAGTGACCTCGGAGTGACCGCTGAGTGACCTCAGAGTGACCGCTGCTGAGTGACCGGTGCTGAGTGACCTCAGAATGACGTCAAAATGACCACGGAGTGACTGCTGAGTGACCAGTGCCGAATGACCACGAAGTGACCGCTGAGAGACCTCGGAGTGACCGCTGAGTGACCGCTGAGTGACCACGGAGTGACCACTGAGTGACCACCGAGTGACCGCTGAGTGACCACGGAGTGACCACTGAGTAACCGCTGAGTGACCGCTGAGTGACCGGTGCTGAGTGACCTCAGAGTGACGTCAGAATGACCACGGAGTGACCGCTGGGTGACCAGTGCTGAATGACCACGGAGTGACCGCTGAGTGACCACTGCTGAGTGACCGGTGCTGAGTGACCTCAGAATGACGTCAGAATGACCACGGAGTGACCACGGAGTGACCGCTGAATGACCTCAGAGTGACATCAGAGTGACCGCTGAGTGACCGCTGGGTGACCGCTGAGTAACCGGTGCTGAATGACCACGGAGTGACCACAGAGTGACCGCTGAGTGACCACTGAGTGACCACTGACCACGGAGTGACCACGGAGTGACCAGCAGAGAGTGACCAGCACCGAGTGACCACAGAGTGACCACAGAGTGACCACAGAGTGACCAGCACAGAGTGACCAGTGCCGAGTGACCACAGAGTGACCACAGAGTGACCACAGAGTGACCACAGAGTGACCACAGCAGCTGCGCCCCTCCCCCACCGCGGGACCCAAAAATAGACACGGGGGGGGGAGGGGAAATCGAGGAGAAAAACCCAAAAATTCAACATTTTGCTCAATTTTTTGGGGTTTTTTTTCACATTTCGGGGTGTCCCTAAATCTGGGAGGGGTCAAATTTTTGGGGGGGGTCAAATTTAGGGGGGGTCACCCCAAATTTGGGGGGTGGGGGGGTTGAAATCGAGGAGAAAAACCCAAAAATTCAACATTTTGATCCATTTTTTTTTGTTTTTTCACATTTCGGGGTGTCCCCAAATCTGGGAGGGGTCAAATTTTGGGGGGGGGGTCACATTTAAGGAAGGTCACCCCAAATTTAAGGGGGGGTCACCCCAAATTTTGGGGTCAGACCCCAATTTTTGGAGAGAAATTGAGGAGAAAACCCCAAAAATTCAAGATTTCGACCCAATTTTGGGTTTTTTTCTCCCGTTTAGGGGTGTCCCCAAATTTGGGGGGGTCCCAAAATTTGGGGGGGGGGTCATATTTTGGGGTGGCATCACATTTACGGGGGGGGGACACCCCAATATTTGATTTAGGAGCATCAACCCCCCCAAAAAATAATAAAAATTAAATATTTCGACCCATTTTTGTGAAATTTTCCCCTTTTTTTTGGGGGGGGAAGGGCAAATTTTGAGGGGATCACCCCAAAATATTTGGGGGGGTGGGTGGAGCTCAAATTTAGGAGGTGTGACCCAAAATTTAGGATTTTTTGGGGTTTTTTTGGGGTTTTTTTTGGGGGGGGTGGGGGAGGGGTGGAAATTGGAGGCGTTGAGCTAAAAATAGCCCCGAGGGGGGGGAGGGGAAGGGGGGGGGGGGAAGGGGGGGGGGGAAGGGGGGGGGGGGGTCACGCGCTGCCGCGGGGGATTCTGGGATAGCCCAGAATTTTGGGGGGGGGGGACCCCAAAATTTTCCCCTCCCCCCACCCCCAAAAAATAAAATTAAAAATAAAATAAATTAAAAAAAGGGGGGCCAAGGACAAATTTTGGGGGGGGGAGGGGGAGGGGAGGTCGGGGCCCCTCCCCCCACCCCCACACGGCCTTGGGGGGAGGGGAATAAAGGGGGGACCCCCCCCCCCCAAAAAACAAAAAGAGGAGCCGGAACCGCCGCGCCATGGGGGGGGTGCAGGTGAGGGGGGACCCCAAATTTATTTGGGGGGGGAGACCCCAAATTATTGGGGGGAGACCCCAAATATGGCCCGATTGTGGGAGGAGGGGAATCCTAAATTTATTTGGGGAGGGAGACCCCAAATTATTGGAGGGAGACCCCAAATATTCCCTAATTATGGGGGAGGGGAACCCCAAATTAATTTGGGGGGGGGGAGACCCCAAATTATTGGGGGGGACCCCAAATATTCCCTAATTATGGGGGAGGGGAACCCCAAATTTATTTGGGGGGGGAGACCCCAAATATTCCCTAATTATTGGGGAGGGGACCCCAAATTTATTTGGGGGGGGGAGACCCCAAATTATTGGGGGGGACCCCAAATATGGCCCGATTGTGGGGGAGGGGAGACCCCAAATTATTTGGGGGGGGAGACCCCAAATTATTGGGGGGAGACCCCAAATATTCCCTAATTATGGGGGAGGGGAACCCCCAAATTAATTTGGGGGGGGGCTTCAATTATGGGGGAAGGGACCCCCAAATTATTTGGGGGGGGGACGCCAAATATTTCCCAATTTTGGGGGAGGGGAACCCCAAATTAATTCGGGGGGGGGAGACCCCAAATTATTGGGGGGGACCCCAAATATGGCCCAATTGTGGGGGAGGGGACCCCAAATTTATCTGGGGGAGAGACCCCAAATTATTGGGGGGGGACCCCAAAATATTCCCTAATTATGGGGGAGGGGAACCCCAAATTTATTTGGGGGGGAAGACCGCAAATTATTAGGGGGGGACCCCAAATATTCCCTAATTATGGGGGAGGGGACACCCAAATTAATTTGGGGGGGCTTCAATTATGGGGGAAGGGACCCCCAAATTATCTGGGGGGGAGACCCCAAATATTCCCTAATTATGGGGGAGGGGACACCCAAATTATTTGGGGGGGGGAGACCCCAAATTACGGGCGGGACCCAAAATTATGGGGTGGGGGGGCCATGGGGACCCCCAATTATGGGGCAGGATCCCAAATTATGGGGTGGGATCCCCAAATTATGGGGTGGGGGGGCCATGGGGACCCCCAATTAGGGGATGGCACCTCAAATTACGGGGTGGGACCCCAAATTACGGGCGGGGAACCCCCCGAATTATGGGGTGGGACCCCAAATTATTGGTTGGGGGGACATTAAACCCCAAATTACGGTCGGGCAACCCCCGAATTATGGGGTGGGACCCCCCAAATTACGGGGCGGGACCCCAAATTATGGGGTGGGAGGACATTAAACCCCAAATTATGGGCGGGGAGCCCCCGAATTATGGGGCGGGACCCCAAATTATGGGGTGGGACCCCCAAATTACGGGATGGGGAGGCCATGGGGACCCCCAATTATGGGGCAGGATCCCAAATTATGGGGTGGGACCCCCAAATTATTGGGTGGGACCCCAAATTACGGGGCGGGACCCTAAATTATGGGGTTGGGGGGCCATGGGGACCCCCAATTATGGGTTGGGATCCCAAATTATGGGGTGGGACCCCCAAATTATGGGTTGGGATCCCCAAATTATGGGGTGGGGAGGCCATGGGGACCCCCAATTAGGGGATGGGACCCCAAATTATGGGTTGGGATCCCCAAATTATTGGCTGGGAGGGCATTAAACCCCAAATTACGGGCGGGGACCCCCCAAATTATGGGGTTGCGGGGACATGGGGACCCCCAATTATGGGGTGGGACCCCAAATTATGGGATGGGACCCCCAAATTATGGGGTGAGGGGGCCATGGGGACCCCCAATTACGGGATGGGACCCCAAATTACGGGTGGGACCCCAAATTATGGGGTTGGGGGGCCATGAGGACCCCCAATTAGGGGATGGGACCCCAAATTATGGGGTGGGACCCCAAATTACGGGGCGGGACCCCAAATTATTGGGTGCGGGGGCATTAAACCCCAAATTACGGGTTGGGACCCCCGAAATTATGGGGTGGGGGGGACACTAAAGCCCAAACTACCGGCGGGGACCCCCCAAATTACGGGGCGGGACCCCAAATTATGGGGTGGGATCCCCAAATTATTGGTGGGGGGGCCATGAGGACCCCCAATTAGGGGATGGCACCCCAAATTACGGGCGGGAAACCCCCAAATTATGGGGTGGGACCCCAAATTATTGGTTGAGAGGACATTAAAGCCCAAATTACGGGCGGGGACCCCCCGAATTATGGGGTGGGGGGGCCATGAGGACCCCCAATTAGGGGATGGAACCCCAAATTACGGGCGGGAAACCCCCAAATTATGGGGTGGGACCCCAAATTACGGGCGGGGACCCCCCAAATTATGGGGCGGGACCCCAAATTATGGGGTGGGATCCCGAAATTATGGGGTGGGACCCCAAATTACGGGCGGGGAACCCCCAAATTATGGGTTGGGGAGACCATTAACCCCCAAATTACCGGCGGGCAGCCCCCAATTTCGGGGCGGGGGTCTCTTCGGCCACCCCCATTTTCGGGGTACGGCCGCCCCCTCCCCAAATTCCCCCCCCTGTCCCCCCCAGCTCCTGCTCCTGGTGGCCCTGGTGGTGACCCCGGTGGTTTTGGGGGCCCGCGGGGACCCCCCCGTGGTGGGTCTGAGCCCCATCTCGGGGGTCCCGCTGGTTTTGGGGACCCGCGGGGACCCCCCCGTGGCGGGTCTGAGCCCCCTCGCGGGGGTCCCGCTGGTTTTGGGGGGGGGGTCCCGGGCGCCCCCCGTGCCGGCCCGTGAACGTGACGGTGGCGCTGGAGAAGGACGCGTGTCCCCAATGCCGCGCGGTGACCGCCACCGCCTGCGGGGGCTTCTGCCGCACCCGGGTACGGGGGTACGGGGTACGGGGGGATTTTGGGGGGTTTTGGGGGGTTTGGGGGGGATTTTGGGGAGATTTATGGAGTTTGGAGGGGATTTGGGGGCGGAATTGGGGGGGATTTGGGGGGTTTGGGGGGATTTTTAGAGGGTTTGGGGCGGATTTGGGGGGATCGGGGGTGGTTTGGAGGGGATTTGGGGAGGTTTGGGGGGGATTTGGGGAGGTTTGGGGGGATTTGGGGGGGTTTGGGGGGGATTTGGGGGGTTTGGGGGAGATTTATGGAGTTTGGAGGGGATTTGGGGGAGGAATTGGAGGAGATTTGGGGGGTTTGGGGGGATTTTTAGAGGGTTTGGGGCGGATTTGGGGGGATCGGGGGTGGTTTGGAGGGGATTTGGGGAGGTTTGGGGGGTTTGGGGGTTTGGAGGGGATTTGGGGAGGGTTGGGGGGTTTGGAGGGGATTTGGGGGCGGATTTCGGGGGGATTTGGGGGGTTTAGAGGGGTTTGAGGGGAGGGTTGGGGGGTTTGGGGGGATTTGGGGGGATTTGGGGGGGTTTGGCAGTGGTTTGGGGGAGTTTTAGGGGGTGTTTGGGGGGATTTGGGGGGTTTTGGGGGGGTTTGGGGCGGTTTGGGGGGGATTTGGGGGCAGATTTGGGAGGATTTGGGGGGGTTTTAGGGGGTGTTTGGGGGAGATGTGAGGCGGTTTGGGAGGGTTTGGGTGATTTTAGGGGGTTTAGAGGGGATTTGGGGGGGTTTGGGGGGGATTTGGAGGAGATTTGGGGGGGATTTCGGGGCATTTGTGGGAGTCTGGGGTGGTTTAGGGGGGTTTGGGGGTGGTTGGGGAGGTTTGGAGGGGGTTTGAGGGGGTTTGGAGGAGATTTGGGGGGGATTTCGGGGCATTTGTGGGAGTCTGGGGTGGTTTAGGGGGGGTTTGGGGGAGATTTGGGGGGGATTTGGGGAGGTTTGGGGGCGACTTGGGGAGGTTTGGAGGGGTCTGAGGAGGTTTGGGGGGGATTTATGGGGATTTGGGGGGATTTGGGGGGATCTGGGGGGATTTGGGGGGATTTGGGGGGATTTGGGGGGATTTGGGAGGGGACTGGGGAGGTTTGGGGGGGATTTATGGGGGGTTTGGGGGGGATTTGGGGGGGTTTGGAGCCATTTGGAAAGGTTTGGGGGGGTCTGGTGGGGTTTGGGGGGATTTGGGGGTGTTTAGGGAGATTTGGGGGGTGTTTGGGGGGTTTGGGGCTGTTTGGGGGGGGTTTGAGGGGAGGTTTGGGGGGATTTGGAGGGATTTGGGGGGAATTTGGGGGAGTCTGGGGGGCTTTGGGGGGCTTTGGGGGGATTTCTGGGAAATTGGGGGGGATTTGGGGGAGATTTGGGGAGGTTTGGGGGCGTTTGGGGGGAATTTGGGGGGATTTGGGGGGATTTGGGGGGGGTCGGGGGGGTTTGGGGCTGTTTGGGGGGGGTTTGAGGGGAGGTTTGGGGGGATTTGGAGGGATTTGGGGGGAATTTGGGGGAGTCTGGGGGGCTTTGGGGGGCTTTGGGGGGGATTTGGGGAGGTTTGGAGGGGATTTGGGGGGATTTGGGGAGATTTGGGGCTGATTTGGGGAGGTTTGGGGGGGATTTGGGGGAGAAATTGGGGAGTTTTAGGGGTTTCGGGGGGTTTGGGGGGATTTATGGGGGGTTTGGGGAGTGTTTGGGGGGATTTATGGGGGTCTGGGGGGGTTTGGGGGGATTTGGGGGAGATTTATGGGGGTCTGGGGGGGTTGGGGGGGTTTAGAGGGTTTGGAGGGGATTTGGGGGGGTTTGGGAGGGTCTAGAGGGGATTTGGGGGAGTTTGGGGGGATTTTAGGGGGTTTGGAGGGGATTTGGGGGGATTTGGGAGGGGGATTTATGGGGGTTTGGGGCGGTTTGGGGGGCTTTGGGGGGGATTTGGGGGAGAAATTTGGTAGTTTTAGGGGATTTGGGGAGGATTTGGGGGGGTTTGGGGGAGGTTTGGGGGGGTTAGGGGGGATTTGGGGGGTTTGGGGAGGATTTGTGGGAGATTTGGTGGGGATTTGGGGTGGATTTGGGGAGGTTTGGAGGGGATTTGGGGAGGTTTGGGGGGTTTGGGGGGATGTGGGGGGGATTTCGGGGCATTTGGGGGAGTCTGGGGTGGTTTGGGGGGGTTGGGGGAGATTTGGGGGGATTTGGGGAGGTTTGGGGAGGCTTAGGGGAGATTTGGGGGGGGTTGGGGGGTTTGAGGGGGATTTGGGGGGATTTGGGGGAGGTTTGGGGGTTTGGGGAGGTTGGGGGGTTTGGGGGGGGATTGACGAGAGGTTAGGGGGGATTTGAGGGGGTTTGGGGGGATTTGGGGGGATTGGGGGAGATTTGAGGGGAATTTGTGGGGGTTTGAGGGGGATTTGGGGGGGTTTGAGGGGGATTTGGGGGGTGTTTGGGGGGGATTTGGGGCTGATTTGGGGGGATGTGAGGGGGTTTGGGGGGTGCTTGGGGGGGTTTGGGGGCGACTTGGGGAGGTTTGGAGGGGTCTGAGGGGGTTTGGGGGGGATTTATGGGGGATTTGGGGGGATTTGGGGGGGATTTGGGGGGATTTGGGGGGGATTTGGGGGGATTTGGGAGGGACTGGGGAGGTTTGGGGGGGGTCTTGGGGTTGGGGGAGACTTGGGGGGGATTTGGGGGGATTTGGGGGGTTTGGGGGAAATTGGGGGGGTTGGGGGGTGTTTGGGGGGATTTGGGGGCTTTGAGGGGGGTTTAGGGGGTTTGGAGGGGATTTGGTCGGGAATTTGAGGAGGATTTGGGGGGATTTGGGGCATTATCAGTGTGTATATTAGGGGATTATTTGGTTGTGTTTTAGGGGATTATTTTGGGGTCTTTAGGGGAATATTGGGGGGTCTTTAGGAGACTATTTGGGGTGTTAAAGGGATTTTCAGTGTGTGTATTAAGGGATTATTTGGGGGTGTTTAGGGGATTATTTGTGGGTCTTTAGGGGATTATTGGGGTGTGTATTAAGGGATTATTTGGAAGTGTTTAGGGGATTATTGGGGGGTGTTTAGGGCATTATTGGGGGGTCTTTAGGCCATGATCAGGCTGTGTCCCCCCTTCAGGAGCCGGTTTACCGCAGCCCCCTGGGCCCCCCCCGCCAGGCCGCCTGCACCTATTCGGGGGTGCGCTACGAGCGATGGATTTTGGGGGGCTGCCCCCCCGGCACCGACCCCTCTGTCACCGTCCCGGTGGCCCTGGGGTGTCGCTGCGGCCGCTGCCCCATGGCCGCCGCCGACTGCGCCGTGCTGGGGCTGGGACCCTCCTTCTGTGGGGCTCCGGGGGGTTTTGGGGGGTCCTGACACCCCAAAATCCCGGGGATGGGACCCCCCCCCCCCCCCAAAAAGCATTGATGGGGTTTGGGGGGTAATAAATCCTCCCGGCCGCCAGGGGGCGCTGTGTGTTATTGGGGGGTACCATAGAGTGGGGATCTAAATTTGGGGGGTTTGGGGGGGACTCTCACCCATCATTTATAGAATTTTGGGGGTTCTGAGAACCCCCAACCGGGGGTGGGACCCCTACCATGCATTTGAGGGGAGAAAAGAGGGGGAAATGTGAGGGGAGAAAAGGGCGGGAAACGTGAGGGGGGGAAAAGGGCGGGAAACGTGAGGGGAGAAAATGGTGAGAAACGTGAGGGGAGGAAAAGGGCGGGAAACGTGAGGGGGGGAAAAGGGCGGGAAATGTGAGGGGGGGAAATGGGCGGGAAACGTGAGGGGGGAAAAGGGAGGGAAAGGTGAGGGGAGAAAAAGGCGGGAAACGTGAGGGGGGAAATGGTCTGAAAGATGAGGAGACGAAAGGGAGGGAAAGGTGAGGGGAGAAAATGGTGAGAAACGTGGTGGGCGGGGAAAAGGGCATGAGGGAAGAATTGATGGGAAATGTGAGGGGGAAATGGT